TTAAGGAAAGCACAGACTCTTGCCTTTCTGAATTTCACCTCCATAGGATGATGCACCGTGGAAGATAAAATTAAGCAAGATGACAATAAAAAAATCTAACATGTTACCACAAGAAATGAGACATTATTATCTCGAGGAAATAATAGTCATAAAACAAATTTGATTAAATTTACACTGATGGTTCTGCTAATGCTACTAAAGGCAAGACTGGAGCAGCAGGCATTGCAATTAGGAATATTGCCTTTCAAAATAGAAATTAAGAAAGTGAAATTGGAAATTGAAATGTAGAGCTCACTGCCATTAACATTGATACATAGAAATACAAAATGAGCAGTTATCTCCATTCACTCTGGTTACACTAGTCTTAGAAAAAAGTTTAATATAATGAAATGCCTCTTTCTGATGGCTAGTTGTTGCAAGCTTCCTGGATAGTTCTACCCAATTCAATCTACGCCAGGTCCCTGCGAGTCATTGTAAGCCTACCAGGGACAAGAGGCTAAAACCTGACCCTATGTATAATGGCAATGGAGCAAGGAATAGTAGATCACCCTAATGAAGAAAAGGCCACTGGAAAGGTGTGCTTGAATAAACAGATAATCAGAAAGGTAAACAAACCATAGAAAACAATTAAGAGATATCCCTGAACCAAGCTAACCACCAGTTCGTGAAGCATGAACTGGTGAGCCTTGATCTTACTATTTGTGTGAGTGTCTCTCGAATGTTATGAAGTACTTTTGTAGCATTTCTCCACAAATTTAAATGCAATTCCAAAATTAGCCAGAGTAACATAGGTTCTTATGCTATCCTGTACATGGTTCTCTGGTGACAGTATACTGTTCCATACCATCCCTACATCTCCTTTCACAAATTTTCCAGTGTTTCTCACATAATTTTTAAGATAAGTGTGGTTTAGTTTCACTTATTCCACATTCTATACTGTGGCACTTATCCACATTGAATTCAGTTTGCCATGTGATGATCAGCAAGTTTATTTTGTCCAGATAATTTTGAAGGGCACGACAGTCGTCTAGATTTCTTATTCTTGCTAGTAGCTTAGTATGTTCATATAATTCTATATTACTAATGAAAGATAATTTACTTAAACAATGAATATTATTGGCACAAGTACAGGCCTTACAGAGCCCCACTCATGACATTCCTCCAATCTGATGTGTGTGTCTGATCACTGATCTTATTTTTCCTGTGTTAGAAAAGTTTAATTAATTTTAGCTGTGAGTCTAGAGAAGGTGAAGAGGTTTTCAACAATGTTCATACCAGAATTAAGAGAGTTTTGAGAAAAGACTAAAAGATCTAAAAGCTGAAGAAAGACTAAAAGATCTAATCAGTCACTACAATAGGGTAGAGAGAGGAGACATAATAGACTGACAGAGGGAAGAGAAGAAATGTTCAGTGATCAAATATCAATAGAACAAGTGGACATGGAGGGAAGTTAAAGAAACAGATGTTATCTTGAGGTTATCTTGAGATGATTTCGGGGCTTTTTAGTGTCCCCGCGGCCCGGTCCTCGACCAGGCCTCCACCCCCAGGAAGCAGCCCATGACAGCTGACTAACACCCAGGTACCTATTTTACTGCTAGGTAACAGGGGCATAGGGTGAAAGAAACTCTGCCCATTGTTTCTCGCCAGCACCTGGGATCAAAGATGTGCAGTAGAAATATTTATAAAGTTGTTTAGTGTAAGAATAGTTGGGAAATTAAATGAACTAGACAAGCAGGTCATAGAGGTGAACTCCATTCATGGAGATCAATCCTGCAGGTGAGAACCAGTAAACTTTTTTTAAGCTTTTAATAAGGTCCCACATGAAAGACTGGAACAGAAATTGGAAACTCATGGAAAATTGAGTAAACAATGGTTAAAACAAAGAAAATGAAGGGTTATTCTAAATAGAAACGAATCTGACTGGAAAACACTGAGTGGAAAACCACAAGGGTCCATCTTGGGCCAACCATTTTTGTAAAAATCATGAATGACATAGATGAGAAAATCACTAACAGTATCGTCAGATTTGCAGATGGTACAAATATATATATATATATATATTAAAGTGGGAAGCAAAAAATTACATTGAGGCCTTGAAAAGTGATCTACATGAACTCTACAAATGGTCAGAAAACTGGCAAATGCTTTTCAATATTGAAAATGCAAGACCTTGTATGTAAGGCATAACACTACACATCATATCTACCATATCATCAACACGAGCATGCAGCAGATTGATAAAGAAAAGGGCATACAAGTTATGATCCACTACTCAATGAAATTTGCTCCACAAGTTCAAGCTGTGGTAACAAAAGCCAACTAAACTTTAAAAATAATCAAACCTTTGACTATTAGGAAAAGAAAGTTATTCAGCTGCACAAATCTCTGGTGTGCCATCTGGAATACTGCATCCAAGCATGGAGACCTCACCTTCAAAAGAACAAAGCTGCATCCAAGAACTAAATCAACAGAGGGGGGTTATAATACTACATACAAGTCTGAAGGAAGTAGACAAAGTGGACTAAGGAAGCTTACCATTATTGGACTCTGTCCAGCATGGGCCATTGTGTTGTTCTTTGGTTTAGTTATGCTTCATGAGTGTATTTCCTGTCCAGTTTGTGTTGTATGGACCTAGCTCAGGGCACTTGGAGTTATGTGCTCAGGGTTACCTTCCCCAGTGCTGCTTAGTACTGCTCCTGCACTGACAGAATTCTCTTCTCTGGTCTATTCAAGAGCACACTCTCTTTAAGAGGCTGGACCACTGGGGTGGGGGTATCACCTTGGGTAAGTCAGAGGATTAAGTCACCTTGGATTAGTCTTCCTCTGTCTAGGCCCCTGGTTGGGAGTGAGCATTTTGACTAGTTGAGACACTGGTGGTTCACTCACTTGTTTATACGACATGCCGAGGTTGATCTTCATAGCCATGTTGACTAGGTTGTGTTGGCCTACTTTATGATAGCTGGCAAGCATCCCCAGTGCTTGGGTGTCCTGGTTTGGCTACTTATTCAGGCCCTTATTTGCATTTTTTTACGTGGCCTATGGATATTAACTCTGAACCCACTCTCACCTTGTGTGCGTTTGAGGGCTGGTCATTGTCAGTGCAGCGGGATGATCATCATTCTTGCTACCTCCACCATGCTGTCAGTTTTGGCCAATGATGCCTATGACCCCCTAATCCTGTAGGTTTTGCAAGCAGGGTCAAGAGAGTTTTTTGCTTCTCTCGACCCTGCTGATGAAGTTAAAGGATATCAGGCAGCTGCCACTTATGGGATTGTTTTGCCCACCTTCAGTGGTCTGTTATGCTCCCAATTGGATGCCCTAGCATTGGCTCATCTTGTTTATTGGGACCTAGAACTAGAGGTGATGGCTGATTCCACATTTGTTCTGTCAGCGCCTCCTCTTCCTTACCCTTTGGGTACGGTACACCTGGCTTCTGTAGTCAAGGCAGGGTTTAATTTGGAATGTGGCTTGGCTGTCTCCAGCAGTGGCTCCTTCCATTTCAGGTGCAAAGGCAGTCGAGCTGCCTAGTTCTTCTGAGGTTTTGGGGGTTTCTTCCTTCCAGCTGACCTCTTCCTCCATAGCCTCTGTTTTGGGCTCCACTTTCATATCCCTGGCAGTGGGCATGGAGTCCGATTCCACCCCAGAGCCTTCATGTTTGGTTACAAGGGTTTGGGTTTCCTTGAGCCCCACATGGACCTTCATCCCTTCTGATGTGGGTTTTTGTTTTGCTTCATGAAGAGGGGTTTTCATATCCTCTCCTTGTATGACTGATCTTAATGAGGCTCCCCCAGTGTTTGTTTTCTCATGCCTCTCAGCATGTTTAATTCGTCCTTCTAGAGGCTTCCTTTCTCTCGGGTATTCCCCTTCCCCCTTGGTGGCTCAAACGGATCTTTTAAAGTTCCTCTTGCGAGACCTGGAATTTACCTCTTTGATGGATCTTGACTATTTTTGAGTTTGAGTCTTCCTCATAGTACTGGCTGTGCTATTAGGTCCCAGAATTCCTGACTAGCAGACTAAAGTGTTTTTTAACCTTGGGGCTTGGAGTGCCTTCTGTCATTCTAACACACTTGAGCGGCATGAGGTTTTGACTGTTTCAGGTATTTTTGAACTCCTGCTCATTTGTGCTGCTTAATGACTATTTGTTTCCTCCCACTTTTTCCTAGGGCATGGGGGGGCTGATGCAGCTACATGCCCAGTTACCTTTGCTGTTAGTGGCTTTCGTGGCAGATGACTCGTGGGCTCACAAGTCATCCACCATGCACTTGGCTACAGTTGTGTGTGTGTTTTGGCACTCTTGGAGCTTTATACTGACTGGCTCCACAAGGACATTGATATGCTTGACTCTGGGTTAGGTGTCATGTTGCCCATCATGGCAGCATCAGCAGCTTTGCCCAATCAGTGTGCGCCTGAGCTCAGGGAGGTGGTGGTCGCATTCTACTTGGCATGTCTCAGATGGAGGGGGGTACCAGAGCCAGGTTTCGGCTCTGGTCCCAAGTAGGCCAAACAGAACTCTCACATCTGATGTGGCCCATTTGCATAGAACAATCTTAGTGAGATAGCTTCAGGAAGCCACTGGGGCTAGTGCAGAAAATGGTGTTTCATTACATTCAACACTGGGTTTTTCTTAATCTTGAGAGATAATTTGCTTACCAAGTATAAACAGCTAGGAGGCAGGGCATAAAGACCCCAGATAGGTAAGCACACCACAAGCATAGCTCTAGTCCTGCAAAAACACTTAGTGTAATTACCTAAGTGCAATTTGCCAAAGATAATTATACACATGCACAGTGTATGTAATTAATGCAAGTATTGTAATCTTAAAATGTAATTAGAGTGCTGGAAAGATGGGACACCATGAGCTTGGCTCTCAAGCTCTCGTCCTGTAACTACACCTAGGTAATTACATTAGAAAACAATTTATTAGTTATTAAAATAATTTTTACTATACCTATAATTTTCAGCATGATACTTATCGTATAGGAAAAGTAAGTCACTCGGCACTCTCATAAGTACTCTTTATTATACAGTAATTATAGCAGTATTACAAATTTAAGCTCATTATGATAAATTATCATGGACTTTCATTACTTCATTTATGGCTTCTAACCTCTGTAAGATGATCCCTAACTGCTTCTCATCATCATCAGAAATGCTGACATAAACCTTTGGTAAATAGTCAACACCAGCATAAATAACTTCATAACCAAGGTTCTCCAAGCCTGGCTTCACTTTTATAAAATCTTGGGGTGAGCAGGTAAACTGTGGAGGGAACAACACTAATTAGAGAAATAAACAGGTCCTTCATGTCCATGTATTTAACCAAGCATTTCCTATAATTAGGGAAACAAAAAATGAACATTTTCATACAAGTTAGATACCAAGGGAAAAATTGCATGATCATCCATCTTCTGCAGATCACATCCCACACACTTTTTAAATAGCTGTTCTTTGTTTGGTTCACCTTTGCATATCTTATTTTGGTTACCCATGGTTGGGGACAGGAAGCCTGTTAGGCTTACAGAGGTCCTCAGAGCTAATGTCTGACCTTCAAAGGGATGTAACACACAACATTTGACTAACACCCAGGTACCTATTTACTGCTAGGTGAACACAGACATTGGATGTAAGAAACATGCCATCTACCAAGATATAATCAAATATAGAATCTTTTCCAAATGTTTCAATGACTATTTTCACTCCTGCTGTATGATTATATTATAATACAGTACAGTGCTACTATGAAGCAGATAGACAAGTAGAGATGTCTCTTAGATGTGAAATTGGAGTGAGGAGGTATGAAAACTTCAGTCTTGCCTGTGCTATGACAACCAAAATTGAATGCGAGTACTCAAGCCTTGACACCTGCAAGAAACAAGGAGGATCTCTGTGGGTCTTGGCACAAGCTAATGTCTGATGCCTAGAAGGGTTGAAATGTCTTTTACTCATTTTTTTTATATTATTGTGTGAAGAAAAGTGGGTGGAATTAAGAGTGAATTTTGTGTACAAGAAACTGTGGACTTGAAAGAGGAAGACTCGTTTGATTGGGGAACTAGGGATACGAGATTAACACTGGCTGGGAAGGCTTACTGAGCTGAGAGCCCGTCCTCGTGACTTTGTCATTCACCCATTCTGGATGACATCCACAGCTGAATGACATGCAGTAATGAGGCGAGAGTTTTAGTATATCCCCAGAGAAGAAGATAATGAGTGCTTGTGAGAGATGGCATTTTATGCAGATGCCTGGTAGGATATGATTGGACTTCGTTAAAATAGTTCCAACTATGTTTTTGGACTGATGTTAATTGGGTGGAGGTAGAATCTGTTGACCAGTCGAGTTGTTAAGTCAAGGAGGACCAATGTGGATTTGTATAGTGAATGGTGTTTAGTTGAATATATTGATGTAATTAATGTGAAGATTGAGTATAGAAGTATTTGGTGGACAAAAGTGTAATAAAGAAATGAATTGAGGAAAGTCAGATTGATTCATAAGTTTGCTCAATAACAGATAATACTGTCAAGTAACTTCTTGAGGTTATCTTGAGATGATTTCGGGGCTTTAGTGTCCCCGTGGCCCGGTCCTCGACCAGGCCTCCACCCCCCAGGAAGCAGCCCGTGACAGCTGACTAACACCCAGGTACCTATTTTACTGCTAGGTAACAGGGGCATAGGGTGAAAGAAACTCTGCCCATTATTTCTTGCCGGCGCCCGGGATCGAACCCGGGACCATAGGATCACAAGTCCAGTGTGCTGTACGCTTGGCCGACCGGCTCCCTCTTGATGTAACTTGATGTAACTGGAAGTGAGGTAACCTAACAGTACATGATTTAATTAATGTAAGTGAGAGAAGGGAGAGGAAATGAGGTGGTGGCGGTGAATGGTGGCAGGGCACAAGAGTTGTCTCCCCCTTCCTCAGAAATAGCACCATGATACCTGGTTGATGGGGTTCTGGGAGTTCTTCTACTCCCGGTCTCACCATATGAAACCAGGAGGCATGGCAGGATGTACAAAATAGCTCCTTTGAAAAGCACAAGTGCAATAGGCACAGTGAGAGCGAACTCACTCAACATCAAAGGCCCAAGACTTTTCAACACTCCCCCTTTACACATACCGGCCATAACTGGCTGACCTCTCAGTGTTCAAAAGAGAACTTGACAAACACCTCACCAATCAGGCTGTGACTTGTGTATCTAGATACGCAAAACTGCACTGATCAGCCTGATCACTAGATCAGATCACTAAACAGGAGGTCTCGTCAGAGACCAGGCCACGGGGATATTGATCCCTGGAATTGTTGACAGGTATATAATAGATATATCCTGTAGTCGGGTTTGAGAATTTTTATATTCTCCAGGCCAGGCTTTCCAACCACTTGGGCTGGACGGTAGAGCGACGGTCTCGCTTCATGCAGGTAGGCGTTCAATTCCTGTCCGTCCAAGAGGTTGGGCACCATTCCTTGCCTCACGTCCCATCCCAAATCCTTATCCTGATCCCTTCCAAGTGCTATATAACTATAATGACTTGGCACTTTCTCCTGATAGTTCCCTTCCCTGCCAAGCCCGACTATTGGCTAGGCATTTCTGGTTATTACTTAACCTTTCAGACTGTTGCTTGTAGCAACACATAGGCCCACATATACATTACAACCTGGCTGATCTGGCATGTTCTGTAGCAACTTGTCCAATTGCATCTTGAAAACTGCCTTTGAGTTCATGCAATAGTTGTATATTCACTGAGAAGGGGACCTTTGACAAGTTGGCAGTTTCCTATCCTCATTGAGGCCACTAGGGTTAGTGGCCCTTGGGTAAATCAGGTAAAAAAAATTGGAAGAGGTTAAAAAGCCTCAGATGTTCATACTGTGTTACCTGATTGTGCCTGTGGCACTACTTTTCACTGGATCTTTTCTGCATGTGCTACCATATTTTTCACTTTAATAAGTTGTTTTGTATATATTTGGAACCTAGCCTTCTAGTATGTTATGTGATGTCTCTTGTCTAATTTTCAGTGAGCGCATTTTTAATGCTTTGACACAGTTCCAGTGATTTAGTATTTTACTGCATCTGTGTGTTCTATGCACAATATATTCTGTGTTCCTTCTATTTCAGATATCTCCTGCTTTGAAAAGGGAAGTGAGTACTGAGCAAGACTCAAGATAATAAATCACAAGCGAGTTGAAAAGTAGGAGTATTATGGTGGTACTGTACTTCTTGAACTGAAGGTTCTCATTATCCACCCTATCATTTTTCTGGCTGATGATATGATGCTACATTTGCTTCTTTATGATTGGTAAACATTGTTCAACATCATTATTTCTAGATCCATTACATCTCATTTTCTTTCAGTGAGATACAATTGCATCTTGTATCCTGTATTCTGTTAGTTATTAATTCTATCTATATGTATCTGTAATTTATCACTGAAAAACATGTTATTCTTATGCAATGGAGAACTTGATTGATATTTGCTTGCAGTTTTTCACTAACATCTTCTGAGATAATTTTCATGCTGATTCTCGTACAATCTGCAGAGAGTGACATAATATTGTCATTTGTATTTTTATCTGTCTACCTATTTTATCTGTCTGCTAAGAGGATGAGAAAGTAATAGCATAGGGACAGTAATGTACTTTGGGGTACAGAGCCTTTCATTGTGCTCAAACATGATTTTGTTTGGTTTACTTTTACTCTACGGTCTGTTTGCCAGAAAATTTGATATCCATTGTGTCTTGTTTCTGCTGGGTGGTGCTGCATCCTTGGGTTACCTAGCAGTCTCAAGGGCAGCTGAACAGCAGCCTGCACTTTGCTTGTATGGTTTACCCACTGGACACCATTTGGCTGAGGGAGGTCTTCTGACTTCTCCGCGAGTGCCCTTTCAGGATCAGACTCTTCTGCACGCTCGCAATGGGAATGGACGTGTCCATTCTTACAGCCCACACTGTGTGATAGTCGACAAGCCGCATTACACTAGACCAGCCCCACTCTCATCCAGATTATTCAAAAGAAGGAGGGCCTCCTTAAGTAATGAACATTACCGGGTAAAGCCTCAGCAAGTTCGAGGATCTCCACACGACATCCAACACCACTGCGACCCGTTGAGGGGGTGGCATATGGGACCAGTCACCTGGTACCATGTTTCAGAGAGTGAAGAACACCTTCCTGAACAACCATGCATTCTCCTAGAGTGAACTACTGCAAACCCTCTCCACCATCACCAACGTCATGCGTCAAGAAATGCACAGAAAGTGTCACCAAGTGCAGCATCTGCAAGGAGGACCACTATTACACTGTCTGCAAGGCTAAAGTCCAACGTTATCTCAGCCCAAACAGTGACCACATGGTTATCTCCAATCACTGCCCCCATCGAAAGGAAAAAATCTGGAAAATTGAAGACTCGAGACGCCTTGCCTCCTCCACCACCAACATTGCTATCCGAGCACCACCCTCATTCAACATACAAGCCGCCTCTTTCCCAGAGCTCCCAGGAGGAGCATGAGTTACAGCACAGCAACCCTAGCCAATGGTGTTCCAGCTCCCAGTCCACCAGTTATTCATCGACCCAGCAGTCGCCACCACCCCATCAGAGCCAACCACCGACCCAGCCTACACTACAGCCTTCATCATGTATTCCCATCTACCAGGAATACGTGAGGATGCTGAATGTGCTCTACGCTGTGAATGGCCTCCCGACTTTCACCGTACCCGAGAACGTCTACACCACCTCTACTCCAACTACGAGTTCTTCTCAGGCCTCTGACCCAGACATCACTGCGAATGCTGCCACGTTCACAGATTTACTGTCCACTGCTGCAATACCCGCTCCAACAGCCACAATGGAGGAAGCAGCCCTGGAACCAACGCCTTCACATCCAACAACAACTGCTGCAGCCCCACCCACCATCCCTGCAGCTGCATAATCTGCCACCATGCCACCTACAGAACCATCTATTACCATCGTGCCACAGACCCTGTTTACATGCCCACTGAACCTTCTACTCTAGCTGCATAGCTGCAGGACCTGCTACTACTCAACCTCCGAGGACCACCACCTCTGCCTTCGACTCAAGTGATTCGAAGGCTGATCTAATGCTGTCTAAAACTTGTTTAAATTTATCCTACTTTAAAACTAGGAGTTCATTGTATTGGATTCATCTTCAAATATTGTTTTACAGCATTTCTATTACATGTATGCTGGCTTACCACCAAACTGTCATCCTCTTCTGCAACATCCTCAGCCCCAACTTCAATAGCACTATCCATAGCAGCCTCTACAGATCTTCCTGCACTGTTTACCACTACAACGCCTTTCTCTTCAAAAATGCGATTAGCACTTCCTTTGGCTTCTTGGATGCTGTTGGAAAAGTATGAAAGTTAATACTTCGCTGTCATCTGATGAAATAAATGCTGATGTTACATAATCTATTTTTTTAACTTTTGAGTATTATTAATTTTCTTCAACAATTTTTTTTACTATACTGTATGTTTATCCTTAGAAACAAAATGCATTAAATTTTGACTGATATCCTAAAAATTATATACTGTAGTACAGTATTTTTAATCTTATACCTGTATAAAACAGGAACTGCCTCACATGGGCCAAAAGGCCATTTGCAATTTATTTATTTTTATATTCTTTTATAGGTTATGAAAGGAGAATAAAGTTGTGTATCAGTGGATATAAACAATGGGGCTCATCACATAGACATTTGTGTTCATAAACATGAATACCATCATAAAACATCTCACAGCAGTTGTCAACTTGGCATGGTAGACACACCAAACTACTCACAGGCTCCCTGCTCAGTTGATGAGTTAATGGATTGTAACTTCAAATGAAAAAGTAGGTCTAAGAGGACTTCCTAAGAACTTAAAAACTGCACAGGGCCAAAAGTCTACATCCTGTCTATCTATAATACAACAGTTAATCAAATAATGGCAAGGGTTAGATGTGAGTAGGAAGTTGTTACAGAATATAATTATGAAATATAGATCTTTATGTTATTTTAAAAAAGTCTAATCTCATCTAGGTGCTTCTCTACATCACTAACACATTGTGGTCTGTTCAATTAACCATCCTTGAATGGTCATGGTTTACATTTTTATTTAATGGACACGAGTGACTTACTTGCTCACAGAATACAGTAGGGACCAGAGCATTATGTATGCATCAACCCCTTCTTGGGTACAGTCATTTCTTCCAAGTAATATATATGAAAGTAAATTTAAATTTCTCTCATTGGGTAGGATACCGTAATCATGAACCATCGAGAACTATGAGAACTTTCATGGGATTTTATGAAAGCTCAGTGGGAATGTGGTTATACTGTACCTCAAAAATTCATTATTCAATCTAATGGAATCTTTAACAAATCTCTTAAGAGTTCTCCAACTAAAATTTTTTTGAAAAATTTGGCAGAAGAATCTGAATCTTAAATGTGTGTTCAGAAAAGATAAAAAGCTCAGCAGCATTAACATTTTTGTACTCGCCTAGTAGAGGTGAGTACAAAGGTGTTAACAATGCTGAGCTTTTTTTGTTCAGTGCTTTCATGTTCTGCAGGTTTTTCCCCTCTTTTCAGATGACTCCTCTGTCCCAAGTCCGGCTTCTGTTGGAGCCGGGCATTTGGATGTTGTCACTGAATCTCCGGAACGCATCTTGGCGCATCCCGATTCATCTGAGGTACAGAGATTGGCTCGGGTTTATTGAAATGCATCTCGGTTACTGCTTTCGTTGTCTCCCATTCGGGTTGCATCTGGCACCTCGTGTTCACACGCCTTACCTGGGTCTTGGTGGCCCATCTGCGTCTTTTAGGTCTTCGGGTTCTGGCTTACCTCGATGACTGGCTGGTCTGGGCTCCCAGCCAGTCTGCATGTTTGCTCGCCAGGGATTTGGTTCTTTCCCAGCTCGCCAGGTTTGGGTTCCTGGTGAACTGGCGGAAGTCCCGTCTGATTCCGCCTCAGGTTTGGACTGGGTTGGGTCTTGTGTGGGACTCTCAGACCGTTTTCTTCTTTCCCTCTGAAGTCTCTGCTTCGGCTGTGCTACTGCCTTTGCTTGTTCTGGGGGGCTCCCGGGTCCCTCTGCAGTTGCTCGAGGGTTAATGCGGGAGCCTGAACTTTGCCGTGGTGGCCTACCTGCCGGGTCGGGTTTGGCTTCGTCAGCTGTTCTGGTTTCTTCACGGGACTTCCATTCCGCCTCTCTCAGGACCACTGGGTTCGGCGATTGCGAGAGAGGTGAATTGTTTCTCAGAGGTTTCTCTGCTTCTTTGGGTTTTGGTGATTGGTTTGTTCGTTTGCAGCTGTCTCTTCTTTTCTGGCGAGGTTCAGACGGCTGTTTTCTGGAGGGGTCCCTGGGGTTATTGGTTTTGCCGGGGGGTGTATTTTCTTGTGTCCAGTTGTGGCTGTCAGCCATTGACTGTGTGCCGCGGCCTATGTGGCCATGGACGAGCTTTGGGTTGACCCGGGTTCCCTTTGTCCCTGTTCCACGGTTTGGGTCTCCTGGGTTGTCCGCCGGGTCAGTTGGTGTTGCCAGTTGTCTTGCTTTTGGGCGTATGGTTTCCACCTTCCAGGTTTGTCCCTCTATTGTCCTTGTCTTTGGGTAGATAGCTCAGGGGAGCCAAAGGGGCTAACCCCCCCCTCCCCAAGAAAACCAGCATCGAATGTAATGAAACACAATTTTCTGGGTGAGACCTGGAGGTTCCCCAGCATCCCTCCCTCCCTCCGGTCGGCAGCTTTTTCACGTGTTTTGACATCCAGCCTCAGAACTGAAGGTGTGGGTTGCCAGCACGAGGGGGTCTGGGGCTCCCCCTTCCCCCTTCCAGGGAGGGGGGGAGCTGCACAGACAGCGGCACGGCAAGTGGTGATGTCATGCTCGTTTGCTTGTTTTTCTTTGGGGAGTTCTGTCCACTGACTTTCAGTAGTAGTTTCAATCAGAATAGGGGTTTGTTTTAGGGTGTTTATCTTTCTGGGTGCCTGACCCAGTCGATGACAGACATAGAATGCTCCAAATCACACGTGCTATTTTATAGGCCATTGCTCCTCGTGCCTTTCTGAAGAGGCCAGGTTCTGGCTCGTGCTTCCCGGTAGGCCTATGAACTCCATTCACGCCGACTGATGCCAAAGTCTAATATATTCGTATCAACCTGGATAGCTCTAGGGAGCCTCTGGGTCTCGCCCAGAAAATGGTGTTTCATAAATTCAAAGCTGGCTTTTTATATAATCAGTGCATACAATATATACATTTTTCATTATATTAGAGTGGTCCTTACCCCCTCCTCTGCAATTAAATGATAATGTGATGTCTTACTACAGACAAGTGTTAAAATGTAGGGAAAAAAAGTGTCTTTAGACAGATTCTTAGTAAGACAAGCAAACAGTGAGTCACAAGCAGGTCCTAGTGGTATGCAGGCAAAACGTGCCAGAGTGTGCACACCAGAGAAGTCCTCACTGCCTGATGTTATATTGGAAGGGGACTCCCCTTCCAAACAGTATCACCTCTCCTCCTTCCCCGTCCTCACCACCTTCCATACGCCAACAGCAGTCATCAGCAAGGGTAAGTAATAACTTGAACATAGTTTTGTAGTGTAGATTTTGATGAATTAGGTATAAAATTTAGTTTGAAGTGAGGTTTTTGGGAAGTCATGAACAGATTAATTCATTTCCCATTATTTCTTATGGGAGAAATTAGATTTGGATTACGAGCTGTCTCCAGGAACGGATTAAACTCTTAAACCAAGGTACCTCTGTATCATAATAAGGCCATGGATAACTTACTTTAATTTCTTGATTGAAGATTGTATAGCTATCTTGGTACGATTAACGTTGTCCGTTAGCAGCTCAACAACGAGAAAAACTCCTCCAGGTCCTTTATATTCCACGATGGCAGATTTGGCATTATCCTGCGATTTCTGAAAATATTTAAAGAAATTTTTCCAAAATATTTAAACCTATATAGCTTTATTGGGTATTTTCATGAATATATAACAGAGCACATATAATACTTAATATTTGGAAATCATATAAATTATACTACAATCATCCCCTGAAAATCTTTACCTCCATATGTCAAATCCTTCTAAACATGGGATCATATATATATATGATCCAGTGTCTATATATGCAACAATGATCACAAAACACACACACATTACATATAATCACACACACACACACACTTCAGAATTGCTTTTAAATACATGGATGGCGATATACTAAATAAATTGTTCACGACTTTTGTTAGGCCAAAGCTAGAATATGCAGCAGTGGTGTGGTGCCCATATCTTAAGAAGCACATCAACAAACTGGAAAAGGTGCAAAGACATGCTACTAAGTGGCTCCCAGAACTGAAAGGCAAGAGTTACGAGGAGAGGTTAGAGGCATTAAATATGCCAAAACTAGAAGAAAGAAGAAAAAGAGGTGATATGATCACTACATACAAAATAGTAACAGGAATTGATAAAATCGATAGGGAAGATTTCCTGAGACCTGGAACTTTAAGAACAAGAGGTCATAGATTTAAACTAGCTAAACACAGATGCCGAAGAAATATAAGAAAATTCACTTTCGCAAACAGAGTGGTAGATGGTTCTCAGTTCCTATGCTGATGTTACTCCTTCAGGGGTCTGCAGTATGGTCCCAGAACCATCTGCATGCTATGGTGGGCTCTGGTGCTTTCCAGCTAAGTGCTTCTCTGGACTTTGTCCTAGGTGTTTTGTGTACTGTGTAGCGTGGGCTTGACTTTTAGAGTACTTAGAGCTGCATGTGCTCAGTGTGACTCTCCCTGAGTGCTGTCCAGTGTTGTCTCTGTGCTGACAAAGTTTACCTCTCTGGTGTGTTTGAGGGTTCGCTCCTTTAGAGGTCCTTCCTGCTTGGGTTGGCCCTGGCCTTGGGTGAGTCATGGGTTTCATCAATCCTCAGTCTTGACCTGGGTCAGGACCATGCATTGGCTAATGGGGCACACTGGTGGCTCACAAGCTTTTATATATGGTGTGCTGAGGTCAGCCAGCACAGTTGTGTAGCTGTGATAGCTTCTTTTATGTCTAGCATAGCATTCCTAGTGCCTGGGTGTCCTGTTTGGTTTATCCTTCAGGCCTTGGAAATTCCCTACAGGTTTGGTTGGCCTATGGATATTCCCTCCAGACCTATTCTCACCATGCCACCTGTTGGGTCAGAGAACCAGAAGACTACAACTATGACCCTGAATCCTGTGGAGTTTGGGTTCCCCATGTGACTCTTTTTCTCTGACCCTCCTAAGATACTTAGGGCATATCAGGCAGCTACTGCTTTGTGGGTCTGTTTCTGGGGAAGCCCCGTCGGCTCCCCAGAGCTATTTGGGCTGATAAGAATGTATTAGACCCTGGCATCAGTCAATGTGCTTGGAGTTCTAGGCCTACTAGGACCATGAGCCAGAACCTGCCCCCTTTCCCCTCAGAGAGGCACAAGGAGTAATGACCCATAGAAACCCATGTGTGGTTGGAAGCATTCTATGTCTGCCATCGACCAGGTGGCAGACCTCAAATCATCGACCATGATTTGGGGTTGGCTCCTTCCCGGGTTCGGTTCCGGGATCCCTTGGGCTCCTTGGATTCCTCGGCTCCCATCTCGCCTAAGGAGGTTCAGGAGGCTCTTGCTGCTTACCTCCTGTGTGACCCGGATTTTGCCTCTGTGATGGCTCCGTCCTCATTTGAGTTCAGGTCTTCTTCTCCTTATTGGGGGAGTTTTGAGGTTGTGGAGTCTTCTTGGCTCCAGACTGCCCTTTCTTTTTTCAGGGAGCGTGAGCACGGGTTTTGTCAGACCCGCACGCTTGAATGGCGGGAGGCTGCTACTGTTCTGCAGGTTTACCTGGAGGATGATTATGAGTGCCTCAGTGCTTGCCTTTTCACCCCTGTGCTTCCTCGTGATGTTGGCATTTTGCTGCTGCACACACAGGTTCCTACCCTTTTGGCTACTTTGGTGGCTGAGGATTTTCACGCTCATGGGCATTTGGCCTTGGTCTAGTGCTTCTTTTCCCTTCTCGATTTGTCTTTGGACTGGCTTGTGGAGGATGTGGAGGCATTGAGTGCTGGGGCTGTCGTCTGGGGTGCTGGCCTCGGCAGCCAGGGCATTGGCTATGCTGTTCAAGCTGTTTGCGCCGATTCTCTGGAAGGCAGTGTGTGTCTTGTTTTTTGCCTTTCGTCTCGTGTGTCACCAAGCCGTCTTCGCTCTCTCCTTGGAATCTGCTTTGGCCCTGGCTCTTAGATTTTCATCGCCCTTTTGTCCATTGATGTTTGTGGATGAGGCTGTTACTCAGTTTTTGCAAATGGCCTCGGCTAGTTGCCGTCCTCTGTCGGATTTGTTGGTTCTCCGGGGTGGCTGTTCTCGAGCCTCTTGGAAGAGTCGTGTCAGGGCTCGGGTTTCTTCTCGTCAAGGTGGGCCCTTAGTGCCAGTTTCTGAGCCGGTGCCTCCTTTGGAGTCATCGTCGTCTTCCGGTCGGCGCAAAGCTCGCTCTGCTCGTCGGCCAGCTTCTCGTAAGAGACGCCAACCCTTTCGCAGGTCAGTCTGTTGACGGGGCACTGGGGGGGGGGGGAGCTGGCCCTGTTTGCCTGCACTTGGTCCCATGATTTGTGGGTCTTTCAGGACATGTCTTCTGGCCTTTGATGGCATTGGGTAGCGGCTCCTCCTCTGGGGGTTCAAGGCTGGCGGGGCAGGCTTTTTTCCCTTCACTCTGTTGGGTCTTCTTGGGTAGAAACGATCTCATCCCTCCAGTGGGTTTCTCGCCCGTTTTGGTACCGAAACAGGATTGTGCAGATCTTTGGTTCATTCTGGAGTTGTCCCGTCTGAACCGCTGCCCCTACTTTCAGATGACCACTCTGTCCCAGGTCCGATTTCTTTTGGAGCCGGGCTGTTGGCTGGTGTGTCTGGATCTTCGGGATGCCTATTGGCACGTTTCAATTAATACAGGGTTCAGGGACTGGTTAGGTTTTGTTGTGGGGCAGCATGCTTATCACTTTTGTTGCTTTCCCTTTAGCCTGAATCTGGCACCTCACATTTTTACATGTCTTACCCGGGTTGTGGTGGCCCGTCTGCGTCTGCTAAGGGTTCGGGTTCTGTCCTACCTTAACGTCTGGTTGGTATAGGCTCCCAGTCAGTTTGCATGTCTGCTCACCAGGGGTGCGGTTCTTTTCCAGCTCGCTGGGTTCGGGTTCTTGGTGAACTGGGGGAAGTCCCATCTGGTTCCATTCCATTCCACATTCGGATGTGGCTCGGCCTTGTTTGGGACTTTCAGACTGCTTTCATGTCTCTCCCTCCTGTGGTGTTGCTGCAGCTGCAGTCCCACCTCCAGCTGTTTCTGAGGAAGGGGTGGCCCGGGCCACTCGGCAGTTGCTCAAGCAAATGTGCAGGAGTCTGAACTTCGCTGTGCTGGTTTAGCTTCCAGGTCAGGTCTGGCTTTGGCATCTGTTCTGGTTCCTGTGGGGCAGCCTGCTTCCTCTTCGGGGTTTTCGGGGTTCGGTTGCCTCCCGAAGCCCCTCGCTCGATGTGTTCATGGACGCCTTGTCTCTCGGCTGGGGTTTTGTGACCAGTGCTCAACAGGCCAGCACTTTGGGTTCTGGCTCGGTTGGAATCTTATTACGGGAGAGTTATTCTTGTGTCCCCATGGTGGCCGGCCCAGCCTTGGTTTCAGTCGCTGCTTGTTCTGTGTCCGAACCCGGGACGCTTTCCGCGGCTCCGCCTCTTCCAGCAGATCGGCTGGTCCGGTACCTGGCTGGTTCAATCTACTCCTCCTCTTTTTGGGTCTCGTCTTTTTGACGTGTGTATCACCACTTATATGGTGAACAGGTGGCTTCGTTGATAGTATCCCACCTTCGGTCTTCATCTCGGCAACAGTATGAAGTCTCTTGGCGCTCTTTTTGCCATTTCCTCTCTCTTCGTAGATTGTCTTTTATTTCTGTTCGGGTTGTTTTGCCCTTTCTTGGTGAATACTGTCACCTCATATGGTTCAGCACTGGCGGAGCCGCTCCAGCTTGCGTTTGGAGTGGATGTCACTTCTGCCCTGTTCCGTAAGCTTTCTCGTACATTGTTTCACCTCTGGCCTGCTCATGCACTGCCTGAGCTGTCCTGGACCTTGGACTGGATGCTCTCTCTTCTTTCTTCTCCTCAGTTTGTGATGGCCCCTTCTGTCCATGACTGCTTTCAGAATACTTTGTTTCTGTTGGCATTAGTATTAGTCTCTGGGGGTTGGGTCGATGAGCTTCATGCTCTCCTCCAGCGCATGGGTTTCTGCTCGTTTGTCCTGGTGAATGGTTTGTTCAGTTGCAGCTGTCTTCTTTTCTGGCGAAGAACAAGATGGCACGCCTCCGGAGGGGTCCTCGGTTATTGATGCTTGGTTGGTCTGGCCAGCGGTGCATCATGTGTTGTGTCTGGTTGCAGCTCTTTGCCGTACAAAAGCCTTGGCTTTTGTGTCTGGGAACACGCTATGGATTAATCTGGCCTTCATCATTCCATGATCCAGGGCTCGGGTGTCCCCGGTTTTCCGAAGGGTTATTAAGTCTAGCTAGCCTGTGTTCTACCTTTGTGCCCATGATGTCGGTAAGTACTGTATGCTGCTCTCGCCACTGTGTTCGGGAACATGGTAGGTGTTACATTAAACAAATTACATATTAAATACTGTACATATTTTTAATCTAAACAATTAAAAAATTATGAAACAATCCAGAAAATGTCTTAAAACCTCCTACCTGATATGAGTCTAGTATATTTTTAATGCTAGCTGCAGGCATGTTGTTGCTACGTGCAAACTCGATAACTTTGGCAAGTTTAGAGTTTGTTTTTGGATCCTTACCTCCACCTTCTAAAAAGAAAAAATATAATTACCTGTATAATACTGTACTGTAATTTAATGGAAAATTTATGAATGACTAATGACAATGACCATGACAACTGATAACAACTGATGATTACTATTAAATGATAATAATAATAATGATGAAATTAGAGAAAAACCCAGCGTTGAATGAAATGAAACGCCATTTTCTGGGCGAGACTCGAAGGCTCCCCAGAGCTATCCAGGCTGATATGACTAACTGATGACAAAGTCCAATATAATGTAAATGGAGTTCTAGGGCTACCAGGGACCACGAGCCAGAACCTGGCCCCCTCAGAGAGGCACGAGGAGCAATGGCCTATAGAGATGCACATGTGGGTATGGAGCATTCCATGTCTGCCATCGACTGTGTCAGGCACCCAGAAAGGTAAGCATCCCAAAACAAACCCCCATTCTGGTTAAAACTACTAGTGAAAGTCAAATGAGTGGACAGAACTCTCAAATGAAAACGAGCAAACGAGCATGACGTCACCACATGCCGTGCTGCCATCTGCGCAGCTCCCCCCTCCCCCGGGAGGGGGAAGGGGGAGCCCCAAACCCCTTACACTGGCTACCCATACCTCAGTTTTGAGGCTGGATGTCAAAACATGCGAAAAAATGCCGACCGGAGGGAGGGAGGGAGGGAGGGATGCTGGGGAGCCTCAGGGTCTCACCCAGAAAATGCTGTTAAATTTCATTTAATGTTGGTTTTCTGGGGGAGCCCCTTTGGCTCCCTGGAGTTACTTACCCAAATATAAAAAACAGAAACAAAAAAGGGACTTACCCGGGTTGGCAGTTGGCACTTGCTCCTCAACTCGAAGTCGAGTCAACTCGTTGCAACCGCTGACCCAAAGGGACACAGGACCGACAAGGCCCAGAAACATTAACCAGGTAGCACACAGCTAGGACCCATTTTGACTGCCAAAAACCCCATGCCCGAACGTCAGCCCAAGACATGTTACCGAAGACGGCAGCAAGCGCAACAAACTTACGAAAGTCGTGGGTATGGTGATAGACCGCAGGCTGGCTGGACCGAATAACCCTGTGGACAACCTGAGAAACCCGAACCCTGGAAGAAGGAATAAGGAAAACCAGGTCAACCCAAAGCATGTCCCTGGAAACAGAGGCCTTGGCACGCAAAAAAAACCGGGGAGCTGCAACAAAACACAACACATGAAGCACCCCAGGCCTAACAACCCAGCATCAACAGCATCTGCCCGAAACGCTTTGCGTAATTGTGGCTTTAGGCATTGTATGTACTAGCTCTATCTATAAATCCATCAATCTTTGTAAAATCTCTTGTATGTACCTTACCTAAATAAACATTTATTTATTTATTTTTATCAACAACCCTTAGAGAAGAAGAAGCCTTAAAGAAACATTCCTGAACCAAAGGAGCCAATACAAACTGAGGGGAAGAAAGATAAGAGAGCATCCGGTCCAATGACTGGGATGGCTCAGGCAGCGCATGAGCAGGCAGGAGGTGAAACACCGCCCGAGACAGCTTGCGAAATGGTGCAGAAGTAACATTAATGTTGAAAGCAAGCTGCAGCGGCTCTGACAGCGCCGCACAATACGAGGTGACAGTTTTCGGCATAAGATGATGGTCCTGAAACAACCACGAAAGAAAGGACACGATAACCCTAACAGAAAGCGAAGTATACCTACAAAGAAACAAAAAGAAATGGAAGGACCGCCAGGAAACTCCATACGGCCGCAGAGACAAAGCACGCAGTTGAGACACCATTAATGAAGCCACCTGATCACCATACAGATGGTGATACACTAGAGTCAAAAATACCAAATACGAAGACTCGAGGAGTAGATTGAACTAGCCACGTAAAGGACCAGACCGATCTACTGAGAGAGGCAGAACTGCTGGAAAACCCCTGGGATCGGACACCGAGCAAGCAGCGCCTGAAACCAAGTCAGGGCCAGCTACCAAGGGACCAAGAGGACTACTCTCCCCTGGGAAGTCTCCAAGCGAGCTAGGACCTGAAACAACAGCTGAACTGGGGAAAAGAGGTACAGATAACCCCACCTCAACCAGTCCTGCTGAAAAGCATCGACCCCGACAGCCTCGCAGTCGGGGGAAGGGCGCCACATATACCATGAGGTGCCTCGACCACGCCGATGCATATAGGTCCACCTATAGCTTTTGGCTAGCTTTTGTTTGAGGCATGAGTCTTGAGTTATTGAGGGTTTGGATACTAAACCTCATTATTTTTAGAGGAAAATAACAAGGTTTACTAACTTACTTGTGCCGGGGGGGGGGGTTGAAACAAACTAGGTTTGTTGTAGGAATTATTCAGTACAGTCTCACATACATGGGGGTTTGGAAAGTTTGGAGTCAAGTGGTAGTTGACCTGACTCTGGAAGCACGAGGCATCTCCCCTAGGACTAGCGGTTTAGGTCACAAAATGGCAGGCGCCTTTGTCTTAAGCCATGTATAATGAATTATTTTACATAATTCAGTAATTTAGAGAAATTAAAGTCTTCATTCAAATTGTATTCAATAGTATTCCTGTTTAAAGTATCAAAGAGTATCCTCAATTGTCGGAATACTTTAGTAAGTCACCATCAGTGACGTCACTAACCGGAACTAGCCCTTGGTGCAGAGCGATTTGGGCGACCCGAAGTCATGAGTCACCAAAGTCTTCCATATTTAGTAATTCTCAAAGGTCAAATAGCCATATTGTAATTGGTAATAGCTGTTCCCTAAGATGCCTGTGCAATTACTTTCAGTTTAAAAGAGTTCAACCATCTGGGCTATTCAGTGCAACAGAGATTAGTTGTTCGCCTTAAACCCTGCTTAGTAATCTTGGTAAACCTGGCGTAGGAATACCCCCAAGCTCTGACCAGCTGTGGAGCATGCAGAGTGAGGGAGGTCAGTGTGGTCATGGTCAGCAACTGGAGAAGGTCATCCACCTGCCTCTCCCAAGAGATCAGCCTACATCCACTGGTCGCATTAAGAGGTATAGTTGCTAGTTTTGTATAGGAAATTAGTTCATCTCATGCCTAAGTCAGGGAGTGTTAACTATAGGGAGTGCTTTGATTTAGATTTTGTTTGATTTTGAATAAATTATTTATTGTTTGATTTTGAATAAATTATTTAGTTAGTAATTTGCATTATTATTATTTCCATTGTCTCGTGTCCTTGTCACGTGGTCTCCACAAGGCTGAGTTTTAGTTGGGCCACAAAGCCAAATAAAGCGTAAGAGTTCAGCTATCCCTTTGTTTGCTGTAATTTTCCACACTTAACGTAGATTCTTCCCTCCTCGTCCAAATAACTGGGGTCAAGCCCCAAGGTTATTGATTGCTTAATCGGTCCAGACCCCGGTTATTGCGTTTCGTGTTAATGGTCTGGTGGTGGCGGCAGCGTAAAGGAGATTCTAGATTTTGTTAGAAGTCAGGTTCCATGTCGTGAGGCTGTAGAATCTTGGCCGGTCAAACGGCTTAAGACCACGTGGCGTGGGATTCGGCTTAAGAGTAGTAGCTCTGGGGTCCCTTGGATTGAAGAGAAATAAATCAGAATACGGGTAGAGGTAAGGGGTACAGGAGTAGAGAAGAGCCTATGCCCCTAACCCCCCCCCCCCCCGTGTTACACCAGCTTCCAAGAAGAACCAAGCCCTGACTGAAACCCTCCAATGTTTTAGAGCCCTAAGCAAAGATGTTGGACCAGAGGCCTGTCAAACAAAACCAGACAAACCAAAGGCAAGAGATGGAGTAGCAAACTTGGAGCAAGTGAACAAAACCAACGGTTTCAAATCCAAATCACAAAAACTTAATGGAGCTAACCACATTAAATAACACTTTAGTCCGGGCATGACGCAGCATTGCGTCATCCGTTTACTGTCGGTAATCTCGGGGATGACGCAGCATTGCATCATCCAGTAAAATAATTGGCAAAAATCAGGTTTTTATCCGATTTTTCGGGGACTGTTTGGTAACTGTCAACAAGCCGAATGCAATCTGTGACTACAATACAAACATGAAAGGTGTTGATCACTTTGACCAAATGATCAAATATTATCACTTCATAAGGAAAACTCACAAATGGATGAAGAAAATGACCATCTATTTTGTGCAAATGGCTATCTACAATGCTTATGTGATGTACAACTACTACACAAAAAATACTAAACTATAATACTACATATACTAAAATACTAAATACTAAACATTTGTGGGCAGGAATTGGGAGTGTAGCTGGAAGGCGTCTGGGCGCTCACCCCCGGTTAACGCTTGGCCCGTCTTCAACTCGTCGGCGGGTGGAGCGTGACCAGGTTTTTTATTTTATATGCTAAAGTTCCTCTAGAGAATTCTATTGCAAACCCATTGATACCAAAATGAAAGACCTAGGACGAAAATTGAGGTGACCAGAGTGAAAAGAGTGAACACATTTTATCGCTTTTGTGCGCTCCTGGGTAACTCATTCGCACTTTCTCTGTTTGCTGCGGGTAATTAGCAGGGCTTTTGGAGTTTGTATGCATTTAGTGCTGTAGAGAATTCTATTGCAAACACAATGATACCAAATTTAATCTCGTAGGACGAGAATTGAGGTGACAAAGTTGAAGAGAGTATACACTTTTCAGAATTACCGCGCGCTCCCGTGAAACGCTGGGACCCACATCGCATAGTTGAGGGGTGGCGCGACGGGTACGCCAAAGTGTTAAGAAATGTGGTTAGCTCCATTAATTAGTTAATGGAGCCAGATTCTACCATTTATTAATAATAATTAGATATGATTAGATCATATCTAAAATAATCAGATTAGAAATGTGGTTGGCTCACAAAACTTAATGGAGCTAACCATAGTTGCCCCACTGGGGCAACTATGTCAATACCAAGCCACTAACAATGCATTCGGGCAAACCTTTCCCATAAAGAAGCTGCCACCTAATAAGCCCAGTGCTTACCAGGCTGAGCTACAACAAAGATCCAATGGTGACACATCACAGGCCTCAGGGTAGAAGGTGTCACTTATCCTCTGCCTATGGCATAGGCAGAAGATGACCAGTGCATAGAACTGAGGTACCTCCTTCAAAATCACATGCAGCAAGAACAGGCTTGGTAGGCAGGTCCATGTCAAACATGTGGACAGCTAAGTCTCCAGGGAGCTTGCCAAGCCCTGAAGAAAAATCCAAGTAGGAACACATGCCGAGTTCAGCCTAAGGGACACGGCAGTTAGGAAAAGTGTAAGTGGTGCATCATAATATACATGTCAACACAGAACCCTAGGCACACCAGAGTTCTATGACACTAGGGTTCGTTATATGACAGAGTGCTGGGGAGATGGGACACCACGAGCATAGCTCTCATATGTAACTACACTTGGGTAATTACACTTAGGTAATTACACCCTTAAGCAAAGAAAACCCCAATCATCTCCAACCTCAAAACCACAAGTCAATACATGTGTTCAAACACCAATGCTAGTTGGTTATTTTAGTCAAAGATTTTATTGTTAATTATCACATTATTGTACCTGCACTGTAATTTGCATTTTTTATTAACAAGATGTCTTACTGCAGCACTCATGTGTGTGGTCCTGGTGTTCTGGAGGCCTGTACAAGTCCAGAAGCCTAGTGGTTTTGTGGATGTCTTTATAGTACTGTACAGTACTGTACTAGTAATTGCACTGGAGAGCCACTGAGGGTCAGCCCGGGAAGTTGAGAAAATCATGAAAGTAGTAGTATAGGCTCAAAGAGCTGAACCACTGCTGAACACACCTAGCATGTACAAAGAATCTGGCCAAATCATACACACACATAAACAACTAACTGCAGGTAAAGGATAATATCCAGAGATTGAAAATGGGAGACGGATTCACGGAAAATGAAAAGGGAATGTGTGAAACATTAAACGAAAAATTCCAAAATTTGTTTGTACAAAATTAAATATTCAGAGAACTAGACACAATAAGAATTCCATAGAACAACATAGAGTACATAGTGGTGTCTAGAGACGAAGTGGAAAATATGCTCGAGAAGATAAGTAAGAACAAAGCAGTTGACCCAGATTGAGTTTCACCATGGTTTCTGAGAGAATGTGCATCTGAACTCAGCATTCCACTTCACCTGATTTTTCAGGCATCTCTGTGTACAGGAGTCGTAGCAGACGTGTGGAAAAATGCCAACATAGTTCCAATCTACAAAAGTGGCGGCAGGGAAAACCCCCTCAATTATAGACCTGTATCTTTGACAAGTGTAATAGTCAAAATATTGGAAAAAATAATTAAGATTAAATGGGTAGAACACCTGGAGACAAACTATATAATATCAGACCGTCAGTATGGTTTTCGATCTCGAAGATCCTGTGTAACAAATTTACTCAGTTTCTATGATTGAGCCACAGAGATTTTACAGGAAAGAGATGGTTGGGTTGACTGTATCTATCTGAACCTTAAAAAGGCCTTCGACAGAGTTCCACATAAGATGTTATTCTGGAAACTGGAACACATTGGAGAGGTGACAGGTAAGCTGCTAACATGGATGAAAAACTTTGACTGATAGAAAAATGAGGGCAGTAATAAGAGGAAGTGTATCAGACTGGAGAAATGTGACAAGTGGAGTACCACAGGGTTCAGTTCTTGCACCGGTAATGTTCATTGTTTACATAAACGATTTACCAGATGGAATACAAAATTATACGAACATGTTTGCTGATGATGCTAAGATAATAGGGAAGATAAGTAACTTAGATGATTGTCATGCCCTTCAAGAAGACCTGGACAGAATAAATATATAGAGCACCACTTGGGCAAATGGAATTTAATGTAAATAAATATCATGTTATAGAATGTGGAATAGGAGAACATAAACCCCACACAACCTATAAATTATGTGAGGAATCTTTAAAGAAGTTTGATAAAGAAAGAGATCTAGTGGTAGTTCTATACAGAAAACTATCACCAGAGGATCACATTAAGAACATTGTGTGAGGGGCCTATGCTACACTTTCTAGCTTCAGAATTGCTTTTAAATACATGGATGGCAAAATATTAAAGAAATTGTTCACAACCTTTGTTAGACCAAAGCTGGAATATGCAGCGGTTGTATGGTGCCCATATCTAAAGAAGCACATCAACAAACTGGAAAAGGTGCAAAGATATGCCACTAAGTGGCTCACAGAACTGAAGGACAAGAACTACAAATAGAGGTTAGAGGCATTAAGTATGCCAAAACTAGAAGACAGAAGGAAAAGAGGTGATATGATTACTATATACAAAATAGTAACAGGAATTGATAAAATTGATAGGGAAGATTTCCTGAGACCCAGAACTTCAAGAACAAGAGGTCATAGATTTAAACTAACTAAACACAGATGCCAAAGAAATATAAGAAAATTCACTTTCACAAACAGTGGTAGATGGTTGGAACAGGTTAGGTGAGAAGGTGGTGGAGGCGAAGACCATCAGTAGTTTCAAAGCGTTATATGACAAAGAGTGCTGGGAAGACGGGACACCACGAGCGTAGCCTCATCCTGTAACTACACTTAGGTAATTACAGAGCAAAACATATAAGGATACTGTAGAGGATACTGCACACAACAATGTTTAAAATAATGAAAACAAGTCTACTGCAGATTAATCTTTGCCTGCCAACCTCCACCCAACGGTCAAGAGAGAATGCAAAGTAGTCTAAGACTCCCAAAATTCTTGTGGTGGTGGGATTTAGTAGCCAGGCAGGTAAATGAGCAGTTAGTGAGAGCCCTCTGTTGGTGAAATGATACCCAGAGTGTGCATGTAAAGGCTGTGTGTTTCGATGAGTGTACCTCTGTTGGTCTTTCTGGGCTTAACTGAATTATTCTTCAGATATTTCCTAGCACCTATAATGACCATGTAGGGATGCTTAAAAATTCCTTGTAGTACATGTCCCATAATATTGTTCTGCATGACTGTCCAGGAATTGGTCATATAGCAAAGTCTATTTTATCCTATGGGACAACCAAATGTAATAGCTACAAACAAAAAATAATAATAATAATAATTTAAGAGCATGATAAATTTACATGATGGGGGCATCATAAGCTTGAGCTTTATCTTGCACACCACAAAAAAGGTACAGTAATTATAAATACTGTACCTTTGTAATAATATTACTGTAATAATATTTTTTTTTACAAGATAATACTTTATTACCTTTCACAGCAACTTTCATGTCTTGAGCAAATTTTGTGAAGAGCTTTGTTTTTTCTGCATCTTTGATGGCTTTTATATGTTTTATATTAGCCCATTTGCTATGTCCTGCCATGCTTCTTGAAGGTTTCACTATGCATGTAATATTGGTGTTCCTTAACAAATGATTTAAGTTCCTGCTCATAATACTCTCCATTCCTGCACATCGAGCTGGCCCTACCGATAGCTTCAAAGCCTGTAAAGTACAGATTATTTATTTTCACAAACAAGATATATTTCACTAGCAAATACATACATTGTACAGTACTTATAAAATAACTTATAAAATAAGAATTTTACAAGTTAAGAATTGTATGTATACACTAAATCATATTTTAACAAATACACCTGCCATTCAAGTATACTGTACTTAATTGTATATTACATCCATGTTACCCAAAATCTGATAGATGGAGCAGTGAGAAAGCAGTCAAGTGGAATGTATTGCTGAGGCTAAAGTAAGAATGCTAGAAAATGATGTGAAATTAATGTGATAGAAATACATGACATACTTGAAGAAAATATGATGCCGATTAAGCTCTCCATAAATATTGAATATTCTGTACTACATACTTGCAAGTCAAAAAACCAGCGTTGAATGTAATGAAACGCCATTTTCTGGGTGAGTCCCGGAGGCTCCCCGGAGCTATCCCAGGCTGATATGCTAATGTCAGACTTTGGCATCAGTCATGTGTATGGAGTTCTTAGGCCTACCGGGGACCACGGCCAGAACCGGGCCCCCTCAGAGAGGCAAGGGGAGCAATGGCCTATAGAAGCCCCCGTGTAGTTGGAAGCATTCTATGTCTGCCATCGACCGGAACAGGCACCCAGAAAGGTAAGCGCCCCAAAACAAACCCCTATTCTGGTTAAAATTGCTACCTAATACCGAACTAGTGGATAGAACTCCCCAACCGAAAACAAGCAAATTAGTGTGACGTCACACACTGCCGCGCCGCTGTCTGCGCAGCTCCCCCCTCCCCGGGAGGGGGAAGGGGGAGCCCCAGACCCCCCGCGCCGGCTACCCACACCTCAGTTCTTGAGGCTGGATGTCAAAAACGCGAAAAACCGCCGACCGGAGGGAGGGAGGGATGCCGGGGAGCCTCCGGGACTCACCCAGAAAATGGCGTTTCATTACATTCAACGCTGGTTTTCTGGGGGGAGCCCCGTCGGCTCCCCGGAGCTAACTACCCACAGACAGAAAAAGAGGGACTTACCCGGGAGGCGGTCGTCGCTCACCCCTCAACTCGAAGCCGAGACAACTGGCTGCAACCGCCGACCCAAAGCAACACAGGCCCGACGAGGGCCAGGGACATTCACAAGGTAGCGAGCAGCCAGGACCCTGTTCGACCGCCAAAATCCCCGCGCCCGAATATCAGACCAAGACATATTCCCAAAGACGGCAGCAAGAGCCGCGAACTTACGAACGTCATGGGCACGGGGATAGACCGCAGGCTGGCTAGACCTAATAACCCTGCGGACGACCTGAGAGACCCGAACCCGCGAACAGGGAAGAAGGGAAACCGGATCAACCCACAGCGCGTCCCCGGACACAGAAGCTGTGGCGCGCAAATAACGGCGAAGCGCCGCAACCGGACACAAAACATGATGCACCCCCGGCCTGACCAACCAAGCATCAACCACCCATGGACCCCTCCGGAACGCAGCAGTCTCATTCTTCGCCAGAAAAGAAGGAGACGGCTGCAAACGAACAAAACTATCACCACGACCAAAAGAGCAGAAACCCCTGCGCCGGAGGAGAGCATGAAGCTCCCCTACCCGACCCCCAGAGGCCAAAGCCAACAAGAAAAGTGCCTTGGAAAAACAATCCTGGACCGAAGGGGCCACAACGAAACGAGGAGATGAAAGGAAAGCGAGCACTCTGTCCAAAGACCAGGACGGCTCAGGCGACGCATGAGCAGGCCGGAGGTGAAACAATGCACGAGACAGCTTGCGAAACGGCGCAGACGTAACATCGATACCGAAAGCAAGCTGAAGCGGCTCCGCCAGCGCCGCACGATACGAAGCGACAGTGTTAGGCATAAGATGACGGTCCTGAAACAACCACGAGAGGAAGGACAAGACCACCCGAACAGACAAGGAGCTAACACGACGAAGACGCAAAAAGAAACGGAAGGACCGCCAGGAAACTTCATACTGCCGCCGAGAAGAAGCCCTCAGGTGGGACACCAACAAGGAGGCCACCTGATCACCATAGAGACGATGATAGACTCGAGTCAAAAAAACCATACGCGAAGACTCGAGGAGAAGATCGAACCAGCTACGTGACGTACCGGCCCGATCTGCTGAAAGAGGCGGAGCCGCGGGAAAACCCTCGGGTTCGGACACCGAGCAACCAGCGCCTGAAACCAAGGCTGGGCCGGCCACCAAGGGGCCAGAAGGACAACTCTCCCCTGGTAAGTCTCTAAGCGAGTCAGGACCTGGAGCAACAGCCGAACTGGGGGAAAGAGGTACAGGAACCCCCACCTCGACCAGTTGAGCCGAAAGGCATCGACCCCGACGGCCTCGCAATCGGGGAAGGGCGCCGCATAAACGGGAAGACGCCGCGACCACGCCGACGCGAAGAGGTCCACCTCGGGGCGCCCGAACGTCTGGCAAAGCCAACGGAAGGACTCGTCGTCGACCGTCCACTCCGTGGAGAGGGGAACGAAGCGAGACAGGGCGTCGGCCAAGACGCTGGACACGCCCCGTACGTGAACCGCCAGGAGAGCCAAACCCCGAGAACTCAGCAGACGAGTCACCCGAAGCGACCAACCCCAAAGAGACAAGGACCGCATCGAACCCCCGCGGTTCAGGCAATGAACCACCGGAGAGCAGTCCGAATGGAGCCGAATCGTCGATCCGCGGGCCACCCGAATCCTCCCCAGAGCAAACCACACTGCCGCGAACTCCCGCACCGTACTGTGAGCTCGACGGAAGGACGGATCCCAACGCCCCTGGCCGGCCTGGTGAGCACTGGTCACAAAACCCCAGCCGAGAGACGACGCATCCGTGTACACATCGAGCGAGGGCTCGGGTAGGCGCCAAGGCACTGAACCCCGAAAAACCCGAAGAGGAAGCCGGTGACGCAGCAACCGACGCAAGTCCCCCGGGGGTCGAACTCTGCGATCGCGAGAGAGGCGGAAGGGGGAACCCCGAAGGAACCAGAACAGCCGTCGAAGCCAAACCCGACCCGGCGGGTAGACCACCATCGCGAAGTTCAGGCTCCCGCACAGCCCCTCGAGCAACCGCCGGGTGACCCGAGGGCCCTCCAGAAACAGACGAAGGCGGGACCGCAGCCGCAGGAGAGACTCCGGAGGGAGAGACAAGGAGGCGGTCCGAGAGTCCCACACGAGACCCAGCCAAGTCCGAACCTGAGAGGGAACCAGATGGGACTTCCTCCAGTTCACCAAGAACCCGAACCCGGCGAGCTGGGAAAGAACCAAATCCCTGGCTAGCAAGCAAGCTGACTGGCTGGGAGCCCAAACCAGCCAGTCGTCGAGGTAGGCCAACACCCGAACACCTAGGAGACGCAAACGAGCCACCACAACCCGTGTAAGGCGTGTGAACACGCGAGGTGCCAGGTTCAAACCGAACGGGAGACAACGAAAGCGGTAACTCAGACGCCCCACTACAAAACCGAGCCAGTCCCTGAACCGCGGATGAATCGGGACATGCCAATAAGCGTCCCGGAGGTCCAGGGACACCATCCAAGCACCCGGCTCCAAGAGGAGCCGAACCTGAGACAGCGTAGTCATCCGAAAGGAGGGGCAATGAACCCAGGGGTTCAGACGGGACAAGTCCAGAATGAACCGCAGGTCCGCGCAGTCCCGTTTCGGAACCGGAAACAGACGGGAAACCCATCTGAGGGACGACGTCGTTTCGACGACGCCCAAGCGTACCCACTCCAAGACGACTCGACAGAGCGCAGGGGAAGAAGCCTGCCCCGCCAGCCCCGACCCCCCAAAGGGGGGAGGGGCCACCCAACGCCACCGCAGGCCGCGAGACACGACCCGAAAGGCCCACGAATCGTGGGACCAGGCGCGGGCGAACAGCGCAAGCCGCCCCCCCATCGCCCCGTCAAAGGGGCAAACCGCGAAAGGGCCGGCGACCCTTACGAGACCCAGAACCCCGCACAGCGCGAACACCGCGCCGACCAGACGAGGGAGGGTCCGCAGGAGGAGCCAACCCCAAACCTGACACCAGAGGCCTACCACGACGAGAGGAACCCCGAGCCCTGGCACGACCTTTCCGGGAAGACCCACCCCGGGACCCCCGGAAAACCAACAAGTCCGACATCGGACGACAAGCCGCCGACGCAGCCTGAATAAACTGCGCCACGGCCGACTCCCCAAACAGGAGAGGACAAAAAGGTGAAGAACGCCTAAGAGCCAGAGCCCAAGCAGATTCCACGGAGGAACCCAGCACCGCCTGCCGACACGCGAGACGGGAAGCATAGAACAGGGAAACCGCATCCCGCAAAATCGGCGTGAACAGCTTCAACAAGGCAGCCGACGAACGCGCAGCCGAGGACAAGGCGCCGGACCCCGGGACGGACCCAAGCGTCCCCACATCCTCCACGAGCCAATCCGAAGACAGCTCCAGGAGGGAAAAGAACCGCAAGGCCGAACACAAAAGGCCCCGAGCGCGCAAGTCCTCCGCCACGAGCGCCGCCGAAAGGGAGGGAACCTGCACATGGAGCTGAATAACGCCCACATCGCGGGGAAGGGCAGGGGCAAACAAGCACTCATTCAGGTACTCAAGTTCACCCCCCAGGAAAACCTGAAGCACCGTGGAAGCTTCCCGCCACTCCAGCGTGCGGGAACGACAGAAGGAATGCCAGGAATCCAGACCAAACAAGGGGCAGTCTGCTAGCCAGGATGACTCCGGAACCTCGTAACGGAGCCAGAAAGGGAACGAAGTCCCAAACCTGAACGTGGACGGATCCATTTCCGAGGCATAATCCGGGTCACGCAGGAGGTAAGCTGCAAAGGCCGCGCGCACCACACCAGGTTGGATGCGATAAGCCGAAAACCTCCTGAAGGACGGAACCGACGTACCCGGGGGAACACGGAACCGTACCCGGGGAGGGGCCGACACCAAATCCAACTCGTACGCAGAGGGGGGGAAAGAAAAACCCCACTCCTTGTAACAATAAGCCCCGCTCAGTGGGAAGAAAAACCCAGGCGGGGTCCAGCGGGGCCCAAGGCCCCCAAGTCAGCCCCTCCCCAGCCTCGAGGTCCGTCACCACAGGACCCGAGGCCGAGTCCTCTCCCCAAGCCCCGACCCCACAAGACAAGGACGGAGCAGCCGGAAAAGCTGGAGGAAGGGGGGCCCACTGGTCAGACCCTGAAGCTTCGGCCGGGAGACAAGACTCGAATGCCTCTGCCGCCCCCCCGGAAGGGGCAACCCCCGAAGCTGCCCGAGTCTCGAGATCAAGTAACCCCTGCTCCGACCCCGAAACCCTCAGACGCTTCGGGGCCGGAAGCAGGGGCGGGGGACCAGAACGAACAGAAGGGGAAGGACGAGGAGGTGCGGACTGAACCAGGATCGAAGCGACCCCCACCCCCAAGTCCGGGTCTCGAAAAGCAAAGCGGGGCAGCCCCGGGGCATCCGGGGAAGCAACCAACCGAGCGCGTTGCAACAGACAAAACCTAGACTGCAACGCACGCGCCGCCTGTACCCGAATAGAATCATCAGAGGATTGGGTAAATTGAGTCACAAGCAAGCAGCAACACTCACAGGACTCAGGGTCGAAAGTATCACCGACCCAACAGGCAGCGTGGCAGAGGCAAAAACAATGAGGGTCACCCTGAGACAAGGGGACCGAGCAACCCTCAAACTCGCACACAGCGAGTGGGGACTCCGGGGTCACATCCATCGGACCCACGCGCCCCCTAGGGGATTCCCAGGGTCCTGAGCGTTTACTTTAAGAGGACTCGCGCTCAGGTAGTCCCAGGCAGGGTGCTGCAAACCGGCGCCCAAAACTACCAAGCAAACTTCTAAAGCTGAACCCCAGGGACGTGTACACTCACGGGGACCTAGCAGGGGGCGCCACCGAGGAGAACAGTGGAAGGGCAAAAACAAACTGAATAAAACGACAGAACCCCCCACCAGGCAAAAAACAAAAAGAAAAACAAAACCCCGCAAGATGACAGCGAACCCCAAGGAACAGAGCCGGCCGCGATGTCGGGAATTACAAGCTGAGCAGCACCCTGCGCCCCTACCAGTGCAAACTGCCTCTTACCTGCCGGTAACAAGGGAGAACAGAACACCCAAGAGCCCAACAGGCGGCCGAAAAACCGAAAGGTAAAACGGACCAGCAGAGGCAGACCCCGAGGAGCCTGTGGAAGGTGGCCCCAAGCCCCAAGGGCAGTACTTACAGGGCACCTAGGGAAGGCAGCCCTAGGCGCATGCAGCCCGAGTACTGAAGATAACTCCTGGCTCTCGCACCCACAAAACTAACACCACACTCAAAGCACAGTGCAGTAGCGACACCGGAGCCAGAGCACACGACCACCGCCAATAGCATCAGCCTCAAGAACTGAGGTGTGGGTAGCCGGCGCGGGGGGTCTGGGGCTCCCCCTTCCCCCTCCCGGGGAGGGGGGAGCTGCGCAGACAGCGGCGCGGCAGTGTGTGACGTCACACTAATTTGCTTGTTTTCGGTTGGGGAGTTCTATCCACTAGTTCGGTATTAGGTAGCAATTTTAACCAGAATAGGGGTTTGTTTTGGGGCGCTTACCTTTCTGGGTGCCTGTTCCGGTCGATGGCAGACATAGAATGCTTCCAACTACACGGGGGCTTCTATAGGCCATTGCTCCCCTTGCCTCTCTGAGGGGGCCCGGTTCTGGCCGTGGTCCCCGGTAGGCCTAAGAACTCCATACACATGACTGATGCCAAAGTCTGACATTAGCATATCAGCCTGGGATAGCTCCGGGGAGCCGACGGGGCTCCCCCCAGAAATCATGTAGCTAAATAGGGGAACTACCAATGCCATAGTACTGACATTAGGTCAACCAAAATTTTGATGGTTTCTGTTGTGGGAAGCATTGGTCATTGAGATCTGAAAGCAGAACAATGCAAACAAGAACTAGCAGGTCCATTGTTCATCACAATGAAATGTGTCAAACAACACATGTGTATGGGGCAAGTAACACAATCAGCAGACTAACAGATGTTGTCACAGCTCGAATAAGACTTGACTATAAGTATCTCTGGTAGTTTGGCTTGTATACTATTATTTGTGACATTGTCTCACTAAGTAAGAGAATTGTTGATGTTCACAATTTAACTTTCTGCCTGCTACTGTTCCTATGGAATTGAGGCCCTGTAGTATAGTGGTACATCATTGGTTCACAACCAAAAGATACTGAGTTCAATCCATGCAGTAGGAAAGAAACATTAGGGCAATGTTTCATTTCACCTTATGCCTCTGGTCACTTGTTAGTAAGTCGTTACCTGAAAGTTAGACAACTGTTGTGGGTTGCATTTTAGGGAAAGTCAGTTATTGCCTAGGGTGATCTTGATAAGCCAATGCACAGGCTTCCTACCCCGATGACAGAAAACCATTTGATGCATTTGTTAAAAGAAAAAGGTTCTGTACCACCAGATAATAAATTATAGGTTAAGTTTCAGCTCTTAATATAAACAAAATAGTGAACTACTTTAATACAAATTTTACCACAAATATTATAGTATTGTTGCTTTGTGATGTCAAACAGAAAATGCTCTGAGAATGCTCTGCCCACAGAATGGGCAGAATGCTCTGTCCACAGAACATTCTCTCTCTCAAATCATATACACTGATGGTTCCCTACACCGCACCACAGGTGCAGCTGGAAGTGCAGTTGTTCTGACAATGGGCGATGGCTTGTACTTTGAGTGGGGAGTCCGTATAAACAACTGGGCCTCTACCCTTCAGACTGAACTATTTGCCTTGATCCTTGCACTGAAATGTGTACAAATCTCCAAACTTGATACATTAATTGTAAGTGACTCCTTATCATCCTTAAATGCTCTTAACTCTTTAAGACATAACTGTAACATGCTCGTGTCCGAAGCTAGACACAAATACTGTACAACAAAATTATTAAGGATGGTAACAGAGTCCATTTCATGTGGTCTCCATCTCATGTTGGCCTCCGAATGCATGATAGAGCTGATAAGTTAGCCAAAGAATCTGCCTTTAAAGGAGCCGTTGAGTGTAACCTTGGATTGTCAATGAGTAATCTGAGAGCAGCAGTACACCGAGAACTTCAACAAGATCTTGTAGATCTGAGGCAAAGTGAAATTGACACCAGTAATTCCATCTATCATCATACACTCACGCAAGAGGAGCCACACATCTATGGATCATCCAATAAAATCAGCAGACTTCTAGATGTTACTACTGCTCGGCTTAAACTCGGTTACAAGTATTTCTGGGAATTCTCATTATCTGCTGATGTAGACCTGACCAAATGTAAACTGTCAACAAAATTATTCGCACACCCTCCGTCACTATGTGATGGAGTGCGAAAAGATACGTGAATTTAGAGACAATTCTATAACCAATGTTCCAGCAATGTGAAAATATTTCATTCAAAATGATCTGCTACCAGAAATTTTAGCCAAATATCCCCAGTTTGCTAACTGTAGGTAGTAACTGAGTGATTGTAACCTATCCACCGCTGCCCACTGGATGGGGGCGGTGTGCAGGACAAACATATAAATTGACACTAGCTCTCCACATATGTCAGTTGCTTAATTTAGAACCTGTACTTGAGGTCGATCTCAAACCCATTGTTGATGTGACGACTTATATTAAATTTTGTAACTAGCTCATCAAGATTTTAACTTGCTTAGCTAAGTGAATTGTGGGGTTCATTCCCTGAGCCCATTACTGTATGTGCCTCTGTAACCCTTTCCACTACCGCCCACAGGATGGGTATGGGGTGCATAATAAATGAACTAAACTAACTGATGTCAAACACCTCGCACAGAAAAAATGTATATATAAAAAGAAAAACTATCTTTTAATTTTCTTAGAATAGGCTTAAGAACAGCAATTACATAAAATAACATATCTTGGGGCCCCTTTTTGAACCTACCTTAGCACCACTCTTCTATGTAATAAAAAATCTATTTCTCAATGACCATTATTTTGCAATCTACTTCTGAGTACTACACATGAGCGTTTCCATGTATGCCAGCACAAGGTTTAATATATTGAGCCCTGGTAGGCTTGCAAATTATAAACTACCATTTATCTAAAATTGTACACAATTCTACTTTTTCTTAAAGGGCATATGTAGAGGTTATTTCCTAGACTGACATTTCAAACCCATTAAAATTGGATGAGACATATCTTTGACACTCTACTTTGTTTTGATTTTTTAATTTCTTGAAATTAGTGCCTGCAAACCAGAATCAAAACTGTTTAGGGTTCTTAAACTATCCTTCAGCTATGTTTATCCCTGCCTTACCTGCATCACGTACGCCATTATTATCTTTTTAATGACGTGTAATTGTGTTAAAGTTTCTTCTTAATTATTAAAAATGCCTTGTCCATATATGATCTCCGAGCCGGCTAACCATAATACTCTATCATACTACAGCAACACCTCGAGCAGTTCTGGGGTCAAAGGCCAAGTGACCAATCATAGCTCGCGATACAACCAAAGGTGGCCAATCATAAACCGCGAAACAAGTTACTCTCAATAATAAACAAAAGGTTTGTGGATACACAATCCACATTCAAGCGTGTTTTCCTTTAGCTATAATATTAGTAATAATAATAATAATAATAAATAATAAATAGTAATAATAATAATAATAATAATAATAATAATAATAATAATAATAATAATAATAATTAAAATTAATAATAATAATTAAAATTAATAATAATGCACAAAGAAGTCACATTAACGTGATGTGTCAATGAGAAAATCAGCCATGAGGAGGCCTCTGGGTCCGTCTAATTACCACAAGCTACACAAGCTTCAGAAAGCTTCAGAAAGCTTCCTGGCAATACGTTAGTAATGAATAAATATATTATGTTAGGTTGGGCTGACTTAACCTAACCTAACTTAACCTAACTTAACCAAACCAAACCAAACCTAACCTAACCTAACCTAACCTAACCTAACCTAACCTAACCTAACCTAACCGACGCTTAGATCGTCGACTTTATTTGGCGTCACCAGCTCTTTATTTTCGTCTAATTTCTTAATTAATAAAAATATACTTTTTCAGATTAAAATTATGTTTTCTCGTGTTGTACATTCAGCACCAACATTATAATGAGTAAATATATCATGTTATTCATTACTAACATAAGCTTTCTGAAGCTTTCTGAAGCTTGTGTAGCTTGCGGTAATTAGACGGACCGGGCCTTTACATGTTTTGTTCTCTCCTGATTCCATGTATGATTGGCCGTCCTGTGAGATGATGTTGGATGAGCTTGTAGTTGTTTTTTGATCTAGACTATTTATTTATTATTATTATTTATTAGTATATATACAAGAAGGTACATTGGGATTGTGCGGATACATAGCATAGTGATTACATTCGGTCCGTCTAATTACCGTAAGCTACCACAAGCTTCACAAAGCTTCCTGGCAATACGTTAGTAATGAATAAATATGATATATTTACTCATTATAATGTTGGTGCTGAATGTACAACACGAAAAAAACATAATTTTAATCTAAAAAATATCTTTTTATAAAGATATTAGACGAAAATAAAGAGCTGGTGATGCCAAATCAAGTCGACGATCCAAGCGTTGGTTAGGTTAGGTTAGGTCAGGTTAGGTTAGCCTAACCTAACATATCATATTTTCATTACTAAGGTATTGCCAGAAAGCTTTGTGAAGCTTGTGTAGCTTATGGTAGCTTGCGGTAATTAGACGGACCCCAATTCACTAGTATGCGCAGCATTTCGGGCAGGTCCTGAATCTAACAGAAAATATTAAGTAGGTAAATACTAGCAAAATTTATAAAAATAACAACAGGTACATGGCAAGAAAACAAAGAAAAAAAGCTGAGAGAAATTAGTAGGTATATTAAAGCACATAAATAGCTCAGATTGATTGCATTGACAGCTTGAATGGTAATTTAACAAAAATTAAAAGGCACAATACAGCATATTGCTAGCACTGAAAAGAAGACAGCAATGATCACAATGGTAAAGTTGTTTGGATTAAGTACATAAAGATTGGGAGATTGGGTAACACTAGATACAGAGCAAATTTAAAGCACAGTGTAGGAAGCTATGAAGATGAAATTAGGTACTTTTTGTTTTTGTTTTTGAATGAGGCAAAAGTTTGACAGCTTTTCAATTCATTGGGGAGCGAGTTCCATAGCCTATGTCCCTTTATTTGCATAGAGTGTTTACACAGATTAAGTTTGACTCTGGGGATATGAAGGAGATATTTATTTCTGGTGTGGTGATAATGGGTCCTATTACATCTGTCCAGGGATAGTTTCAGTGCATGGATTATATGGTCCTTCATACAAAATAGGGAAGCAGCACATTGCTGTGTATATCTGAACAAGTTAAAAAAAAATGGATTGTTTGAGAGGAGTCTTGTAGAAACTAGTAAGAGTAGTTATACTATAATGTTTCCATGATTCAGTGCTTACCTCTTGTGAAAATCGTGAAGTTGTTTAGTCAGAGTTGATTTGTTTTTTTAATTGAGGCTGGTATTTTCTCCCCTGATTCTATGTATGCCTAACCATCCTGTGAGATGGGAGTATTGGAAGAACTTATAGCTAGTTTATTTTTATCTACACTGTGTAATCTTCCATATAGAATAGGGTAGCAGCACATTGCTGTGTATACCTAAGCTTCTTAATACAAAAATATCAGTAATCAAGATTTTAAATTATAGTTTGTGTTATTACCAATATTATCCTTATTAAATCATGTTATCAACATACCTTAATGATCGATGGTTATGTAATAGTCATATTTCTTTTGAATCATTCTTTAAATTGTGCATTATGTCTCAATTTTTCACTTCTTTGGATATACTGTATAGTACAAAAAGATAGGATAAAAATAAACCAGTAATATTTCTTTAATTATATTTTTTATTTAAATAACTGCATCAATATTTTTACAGCTGACAGGATTTGTTTCTCACAGGTGCATTATTTGTTAAAAAAATTTGGCTTATTGTTACACACAATGGTGTTACATAGCCTTCCCAGCTTGGTGCCTTCTTTTGATAATTACTTACTGATTGTTACAGCCAAATTGTGTAACAGGAAGAGGTCTTGGACACAAATTTATCCCATGCTAAATGGTGAGGAATCAGCTGAGCATTCCTAAAGTAAAATAGGCTGCCTCAGCTTATAAGGTAAATAAAATAAGCATTCCTCAAATAAGCAGCTGCCTCACTTCACTGCCTTACTGCTACATAGCCTTCCCGGCATGGTGCCCTCTTTTGATAATTACTGGTTCCACACACCCAAATTGTGTAACAGGAAGAGGTCTTGAACCCCTACTTCGCTCTCTCTTTTACCTAGTCCATATAGTCATAATTATAGGTTTAAGTATTCAATGAGAAACGTTTTTGAAGTTTTTACCCTAACCTAACATCATTTGTGCAGCATATTTTTATTTTATGTCTCACCCAGATTTAATTAAAAAAAAAAAAAAAAAAAAAAAAAATTAAAAATAGGGGGTGTACCTTAGCTACACATAACCATCTAAACTTATTGCTAGTTGAATTTGGTGATAGTAAATACTCCCATCAGGCAGGGCTCATAACCTCTCATATTTCATGTTCAGTGTATTTACTTAGTAACTACTGGTATAATATCTTGCTATTATAAAACAAATTCTACTATCATAGAAGACATATTTACTTCAAGTTTCAAGCAGAGAATGCATATACAGTATAACTAACACGAAGGACTCCTCTTCACGAGATTCGCCAATTAATAATCTTTTGTTTATATTAAAATCTTTAAATCGATCCCTGTGTTGTGTAGTAGAGAAAAATTTAGTTATTTTATCCAGTTTACGTAAAGCTACGAGTGGTCGACAGCACACTTAGCCGACGGACCAAACTTACGAAGGTTTTTCTTCTTATTGTGGCTACCTGAATACCGACGAGCCACTACGAAGGCGCTAAGAAGAAAAACATTCATAACTAAGAAGAAAAATATTCGTAAGTACCTTCGTGAATCTGACCCCTTAGAGCAGCAGTTAAAAAAGCTAACCAATCCCGAGGAATAATCAAATATATCTTTGATTTTATGGAGATGGTGGTGGTGATTCAATTGTATAAATCTCTGGTGCCAATAATCCACTTAGATTATTATATTCCAATTCCAATTCAAATGTTTATTCAGGTAAATGTACATACATAAAAGATGAGTTACAGATATAATGTTGTAATGTCATATCCAAGCATGAAGACCTCGTCTTCAGAAGGACATTGCTGCTTTGGAGAAAGTACAACACCAGGCAACAAAAATCACTCCAGAACTAAGTCAACTTTCGTACCAGGAATGACTGACTATCAGGAACCAGGAACGAATGACAACACTGCGAACCAGACATGACAGGGTAGATCTCATCTAAACTTTTAAAATACTAAACAACTTGAAGGATGTTGATCCAGACAATTTCTTCAAAAGGCCAGATGTAACACAGTCAAGAAGCAACGGTTTCTAGCTCAACAAACCACAATGTAGGACTGAAAACAGGAGAGGTTTTTTCACCCACGGTTATAAACCCATGGAACCACATACCTGCCAAAGCTATAAATGCCAAAACTTTAATTTTAAAATCCAGCTGAAAAAATTATAAGGGCAAATGGGAGTACCTTTGACAATCTGCAAGCTTCCTGTGCTGATAAGAGGCCACTAGTGTGTTAGTGACCCTCAGGTAAATTCAGGTGTCCCAAGGAAAGAGTAGCAGGTAAAATTTACCATTAAGTATAGGAAGGGAAAGCTCTCGGCATACCAACAAGTCACAAGTCGCAAGTCGCTTGTTCCTGTTCACACCAGTGTTGAAAAATGGAAATTTTAAATTTTTCTCCCCTAAATACTGTTTCTTGGACAGATCACATGCTTTCTGATGTTTATTTATAATTACAGTATGTCATGAACAACCTTTTGAATGGAAATAACCTACAGTTGGATTCGTTCATGACTCGCAATTGGGAATTCTTGGCTCGAATCCCGGGTGGGACAGAAATAGTAGTTGCTGGATGGTATGTCTCCTAGTAAAAATTATATATAGCACAAGTTTTCATAGTAAAAAACTTAAATCTGTCTGGTAGCACAGGATGACACTAATGATTGAAAGTGGCAACCAGTACCAAATACAGAATAAATAATTACCAAACAGAAATTTGTGAGGTTGTCCACATAAAAAGCTAAATAAAGTAGCACACTAACCTGAAAATTTAGCTTTCACTGGAAGGGAAACAAGAAATATATGGGGTTTCCATATATACTTACCCCATATATTACTGGCTTCCTCTCACACAAGTGAGGAGGAAGCAAGTAATTATGAAAAGAAGACCCAAAGCCGGAAAGATTACGTAGCACAAGTGACGGGAGTGTTAAAAAAAAAATCACTAGCATAAGCTATCTCTTTTTGCTTCAGGCTAGTACAGTAGTAATATGTTGTCTACATCTTTGACTCGCAATCATGGATCCTGGGTGGGACAGAAATGGATGACAGACAGAAATCATATTCCCTTTTACCTAACAGTAATTAAGTAACAATGAGTTAATCAACTGTTAAGGAGGGATGCATCCTGGAGAAGATAAGTTGATCTAGGGGGAACTTAATAGGATTGAGTACAGGTTTCCTGTCCTTGACAACTGGAATTGAAAGCCAAATTTCTACTACCTTTCATATCATTAAATTACAAAATAATTAATAAAAGAAGACACCAACCCTATATATCAGCCATTAAATTACTAGTCACACTCCCACAGCCACGAAAAGGCACCATTCAAGAGTTGAATGCGTTGAGAACTCGTGAGCTAACTACAGGCTCACCATAGCCCGTGCTGCTTGGAACTTTTTGTTCCAAGTAACGAATCTTAACAACAACAACAAATCGTGAGCTAAAACCCTTCAATTTTCTTCCACTCGATATTGGTTAGAATGTTAAGTTCAGTCCACAGAATGAAAACATGTCATTGCCACTCTCTCAAATGCTCTATGGTGCATTACCATCTTTTCTATTATTGTGGTTAGCTGTGTATAGCAAGAAAGGAAGGAATTAGAGGGGGAACGCACCAAGCAATTACGACTATATAGCACTGGGAAGGAATCAGGATAAGGATTTGGGGTGGGACAGGGGAAAGGAATGGTGCCCAACCACTTGGTCAGTCGGGGATTGAACGCCGCCCTGCATGACGAGAGACCGTCGCTCTACCGTCCAGCCCAAGTGGTTGGGAGCTTATAGCTATCTTACACTATGTTTTTTACTGTACTGTATATGCCTGTCCTTACAAAACATGATAGCCAGAGGTATAAAATCAGTATTTAAACACAAACATCTTTGTGCAATATGTATTTAAAGAATAATTTGATGTAATACAGCTTGTGCATACAAAAAAATTAAAAATGTCTTTTAATGGACAGTTTTTGGGAATAGAACAAGACAAACTTTACTCTCATCCCTAGATCAATGTAATTATTTATTTGATGAACCAGGAGCGGAAAATTATTCTATTGAAGAGATGTTTACAGATGAATCAGACAACAATTAAAAATATGGTCCACCACTTCTCAAGTGTAAAGTTCTGTGAAGTTTACAGTTTTGTTACGAAGGCTGATGCATCACCTATGGTTCAAGCCAAATATGTTACCCAGGAACATAATCAAATTTAAAGATAAGCTTTCCCCTGATTAGAACAAAAAAAACTTATTGTTTAATGCTTTTTCAGTACAAAATGTTACATCATTTACATATACTGTACTTTGAAACTATGATCAAGAACCATACATCTTAGATCAGGTAGATGCTGGCCCTCGCGTAAAACCAAGTGCTTGCAGACTTGTGTGAAGCCAATGATGATGTATCATATCTAAAGTCCTAAGGACTTCAGATATACAAAATTGCAGGACATTGGCTTGTTCTGCAATTTTGCTCTGAATGGGAGCCAATAAACTATTATCTTATTTCCCCACAAATTTTGGGTTTCATGCAACCTTAACTAGTTCCAATTTAAGCATAGGCCTGTGTGAATAGTAAGCAAGCCGATTGACATGAACACTAATTACTTTGGACTAACACACCTATCATGGTTTCTAGTCAGAATTCTAAGTGGGGGATATTAACAATACTGAGCCAGACATTTCAGCCAGGGGCCCCAACAAGGCAACAACTTTCCACTTATGTAAATTGGTGCCAAATTAACTAATGTGATACTGTACTGTATAGTCATCTAAATTCCAATGCTTAATTTATATTTTGTTATGCAAATGGAATGGCCATAGGTAATGCATGTTTCTATGAAGACAAAGGTTCTGCACCACTTTTAGGGTACATGATGCCTGAACACAGCATGCTAACCTCAATGACACTTCAGCTGAGACTAATTACTTACAATATAGAAATATGGAACCCAATCTTCAGTGATCCATCATTTAGAGAAAGATATTACCAAAGAATGAACAGTGTGTGTCTGCACACACACACACACAGAATTAGTCAACATTACAGGATCTACTGTTACAGAATATGTGCAAAGTTACCTTCCAAATAGGTGAAAAAATTTAAGCTATATGGCTGTGAAATGCATAAACAGCTACAAACTTGATACCTACATCAGCAAAGATCCAATTTTTAAATGACCTCAAAAATTGGCATTGTCTCATTCAAGAAAGAGTAGCTTTGTACAGGAACTTTTAACAAGTTGTTGACTTAACACACTATTTAAATATATCCTCTCAGCCTTGCCAAGCAGTAGGTAGGAACCTTTGTCTTAAGGGTGACAAATATAGGACATTTCTCCTGTGACAACATTGTTTTTCAATTAAGCTAATTTGCCACTTGACACTGCATGCCCTATAACAGCTTACTATACTTGAAGTACAGCCTAAAAGGCTTTCTCAAAATGCTGCTTTAATTTTGAAATACCTCTATAAATTTTAAAATAAAAAGAGATAAGGAATAAATTTTAAGCAACCATTGTCATAACAATGAACCCCTTTTAGATTGTGGACAATATATGAATAATAAATCCTGCTTTACTAATACTGCTATCGATACTGTATGACAAAGCTGCCAATAAACTATTTATACTAATTTCCCTACCAGCTGAGTAACCATACTGAGCATTTTACCTGAGGAAAAATCTGATGTCTTGATGTCAGGTAGTGTCCCCCCATATGTATTTACATTCTCAAATGAACAAAAAAAAAAAAAAAAAAAAAAAAAAAAAAAAAAAAAAAAAAAAAAAATTAGTATGTTGCAACTTTTACATCCAAAGTTTACTAAATATGTTTTTACATATTAATTTTCCTATTTAATAAGACAGTTAATTCACTTTGCATTAATGATAAACAAAATACAGATAATATTTCATTTAATAAGACAATCTGATAATGTCATGTTCTAAAAACAGCCTGGTTATAATATCTTGAACAAGAAACCGGATGATTACCAATAAGCCATGATCAACAGAAGAATCTGGCAATAATGACATGATCAATAGGAAAACCCAATGATAACATGAGCAGCATGATTTCCTGCTATTAATCCCAGTCACCAGGACATACCAATTATCATGCCATGATCAGCAGAAAACCTTGAAGATGAGAATATGATCAATGGACCAAACCAGTAGTAATGCCACAGTCAAAAGAACAGCCTAAAGCTATACACAATGTGACCAGATTTAATGCTATTATCAAAGGATCAATCTGGTGCTATTTCCAGTTAACAGGACAAAGTGGTTTTTAACCAATGATCAACAGGCTAACCTGGACTTAATACCACTAAAGAGTATGAACTGGAATTAATACTAATAGGCCATTTTGGATGAGCAGAGAAATATGAATGTGCTAGAAAAGGTGCGAGTGGTGGTGATGATGACGGACCAACATTGAGATTATCACATAATTGTAACAGATGCACAATATACACTAAATATTTTCAAGAGAGATTCACAAGATATTTGTCACAGACAATGACTCCTCTGTATCTCCAGTGTTACCAAGCTGGTCTACATTAATGCATCAATACATTTAGAATTGACCCACTTAAACTCTAGCACACCTAAAAATTATATATGAATCAATTACTCACCTACTTTCTAACTAATTACCCAACAGATGGTACATTACTGATGAACATTCATTAAATAAATTACAATAAAATGTAGATATTATGCAGCAAGTGGCTGACCAAAATAACCAATTATAGTATTCACAATTATTTCATGACCTACAAAACATGGTCAAGGGTCAGGATATTTCCTTTGAAACTCAGCCACATGAAACATGGAAAGTATTGTTTAATCAACCTGTTCTCATTATAGCATGCCGTATTTTGACGTATACCTTACCTGAGGCCAAAAATTTAAGAAAATAGTGGCTGCTCATGAAATTGACAATGTCCCATTTTCTGTTCACAAGTCCTCTAGTTGGTTAGATTAGGGCACTTTAGCTTGACAGTTGCTTGACAGTTTCTTGACGTTGGGAACGCTTGTGAGAACGGGCTGGTTTAATACCAATACAAGTCTAGGTGGAAGCGATATAACTGCAGTCGTACTCTTCACTAAGGAAGCTTTTGCAGCCAAATAAAGCTAATGCTGCAATGTACTGAAAGTGCATTTGGCAATGCACAATTTCAACCTCAAATGGATCATGTGTTATATTCATTGCATAAAATTCTGGTTTACAAATTACATTAATTATAAGACATTTGATTTCCATTATGCACATATTATGCCTGTACAGTATCCTTGATGCATATTCTGCCAAGTGATATATACAAAATGAATTTGTAATGATTAAAACACTGAAAATCAGAGAGGCATTAAGTTAGTAGACTCATTGTGCTATCATAACTAGAATGGTATCAAATTAGTAAACACAGTACATTGTACAATGCTAACTTGAAAAGGCAACAAGTTAGTAAATACACTGCACAGTACTAACCAAACCTTAAAATGAACCATGGTACAATTTCTCTTAAATTATTTATTATATTTATATTTTGGTGACCAAGCTTTCAATTATTAAAATTGCAGTTTGCAATTCAAGGGAAATTACCAGTATCTAAGTACTGAGTATATGATATGGTTGCAAAAACCAAGATAACTGCCCTTTTAGCTTAATGATTTTGATTTTTCTACAAAAACAAAACAGCCTAGTTCTATCACATTTATGGAGGCCATAGGTTTAGACTCAATCTATAGCACTGTGGAACAGTACAAACACCAATAATAGAAAACATCATTATTTCTGTTACTTATGAATTTTGACATATGCAGTTCACATTTTATAGTGGATGATGAATATAAAGATGGCATTAAATATGTCCTCTTTTACACTGACTCTTCTATCACATGCAAAACATGATTTAATCATAAGAGTGCTATCAATCAATACTGAGAACTATTTTGATGTAACACTGCCACCAGTGTTAGTTTCAAAATACAATGCCTGAATGCCATGAGCTATCTGACATGAAGGAAAAAATGCTATCTTTAATCCAACAAGAAATTCTTGTATGTCAAACATGCAAGAATATAGCTGTCTACTGTGGACATGAATGGCTATTTTCAAAAAAATGGTGAACTTAATAGTGAGGCAGTTTGGAAATTGATCCAAGACATGGTGGTACATCAATAATGCCATCATTTGTTCCAACTGCAACTTTCTAAGTATCTGTCATATGGCACAAAAACAATTTGGAGCATCAACCTCATGTTACTTGATAATGATACTCCTAAAATAATTAACATTAATGCTTGCCAATATCTCTAACATTATCATATGAAAAGTGAAGAATAAATGTTGATAATCGTAACAGATTACTCAAGTGTATTTAAACATCTAGCAATTTATTAGATTTGCATAATTAACTACAGGTATAACTATTCAGCAGCAGTCGAATAAAATTAAAACATTATCCCAAAAATCAGACCAAATTTCCACTGTTGCAACTAGTTTCGTAAATAGCTTCAATAGACAGCAAATCATAAAACAGCAAATAACAGATATACTGTGGCAAAGCTACCAAACATTCAAAACGTTAATACAAAATTTCAATTGCAATTAGTTCGAGTCTATAGGTCAATAATTAGGATATTTGCTATTACTACTGCTGTACTCTCTCAACAGTATCTTACAAAAATAGCTCTGCAGAACTTGTTTCAATCTTTTCAATTTGGATCTAGGCCACAAAAAAAATATACATTATATGTATGTATGTATCATAAAACTGTAACAAGTTCCTGATCATAGTCAGTGCTCAAATACCAGGTTTGTTATAATGCACTGCAGCTGAAATACACTGTAGACTAATTTAGCTTCAAGTTTGAGCACTTTGCAAGCTATTAAAATATGTATTTAGCACGAGCTTCCAAGCTGATTTATGAATACATGTATTTCAACTACTGTATTTACAAGCTAAAAATTTCTTGTAAACACACATCTGTAAAAGACTACAGCAAAGGCCTAGAAGTACAGTATGATGTTTAACAATGCTCATGTGTAGATTATAATTATATATATATAAACACGTTACATATTGTACTCACTGCAACATTTATACTCAATACTGTACAACAGTGTACTTTCATGCGTTATGCATCCATGGCACTTTATCTGAGATATGCAACTAAAAACAAAAGACAGTTAAATCCTTTCTTTGGCAAATGTATCAAATTTAACAGATTCATACTAATCCATAGAAAACATACTCCAAACTTTGAATAAAGTAAAAATAGTACAGTACTAGAGATATTCTCCCCATATAAGATTAAGTACAGTAATTATAAACAAATGTGTAAAAGTGACAAATGAACTGTGGCTGAAAAAATGCACAGAAAAACACCACACATGAAAGTTAAACTTTGCTTCAGTCCATCCTGGACCATTACCATTTTATCTTTATGAAATAAAAACCCCAGAAATAATTTGAAACTTTTTTGACAAAATCCAGTCTGCACCTTAGCAAAATTATGACTAAAGAGTGAATTAAGCATCTTCTAGTGCAACATTTCACCCCCCTGGCTGAATTAAGTGTTCCTAAATGTTTTTTTACTGAAAGCTAAATTGTGTTCTTTTTCGATGATATAGCTAGTAATTTTTATTTTAACTAACAGTACCTAGTAATTGTTGATAAATTACCTTAAGGTACATTGGTAGGTAGGTATGGTGAAATTCAAGCTTTTAAGTCTAGTACTGGGTGATCACTCAACATGGAGTGTAGAGGTGGATTTTTAATAGATCTAAAAATGCAGTCACAGATATGAATTATAGGTTCGATGTCAATATTGTCATACAGTAAGTCTGAAAATTTTATCTGTAGTAGTCTGTTACTCTTGCTCCAAAACACTTTTCTGGCAGGCTGTTAGCATATGCTCAAAAGTAAGAGCCATACTACATGTTAAAGAACAAAGCAGGAATGCTTATGATTGGATGACCTTGGGTTAGGGTAGTGTGTTTAATCTGTAGTCTGGATTCAATCACTTGCTTCATGTTTTAAGTTTTGTTGATATGATAGCACACGAGTTAACATTAGATTTTACCTATCCAAGCCTCTTGGTAGCAAACTGACTCTAATGATGCTGCCGTTTGCTTTTCACGAGACCTATTACGAGTCTCTGCATCGAAAAAAGCCTAGAGGTGGTGGGTGCCAGGTGGGTAGCTTCTGTAGCTTCCACATGTCTCCTTACTGACCGGCATTCCTACGTATGCATGGACATAGCAAAATTGGAACATTTTGTTTTTGGATAACAACCAATAAAACCATTTGTACAGCTTCTGAAAAAGGGGCGAGTAGAAGAATACTGTCGTATAGTCTGGATTGAGCTTTTTGGATCTGTAAATACCAGGTGATGACATTGTGTACCTTTTCAGTAACTGTTCATCTTGGAGGATGGCTGTAATTTCTGCAGTGACAGTGGAGACAGAAACCTGGCACAGGAGGTTTGGATGCCTTGTGTTACACCACTATCTGTGCTAGAGTAGATTTGGTAATATCTGCTTAATATTTTTCTTTTTACAAGTAAGCACTGTTGTATTTGTAGAAGAGGATTTTGATGGGGTCTGGAGAGACTGATTTAATACATGTAGGCCATAAATACACTGGAACACATTATTGTGGACGAATTTTTACCTCTATACAGGGCAAAATTTTGCTCTCGTGGACAGTTTGTTCTTATGCCTGCAGGTACAGCTTAGGTTATATATTGTCTCCATACATGCAACTTCATTAATATAGGACAAATTTGTAAATACTGTATTATTTTTGGGAGCGGGATGGGCTAGGGCAACCAGTTAAAAAGTAGTTCAACAGTTTTTTGTGACTGAATAAATATGAATACACATATATGACATCACAAAATTTTGTACAGATTTTAATGAAAGACATGGTAAAAAATATTTTTTTTTAAATAAATTATTATCGTACTTGTTAAGACATTAGATTTTATCATTATCTTGAAAAAAGATATGCTCACAGTATTATTTTTCTAGAACCTTAAATGTAAAAATAAATTTTATAAAAATAAAAACAATTATTGAAAACCCCAGTTACGACTGCATATTAATGAATACAAAGAAATAAAACCATCAATATCTGCTAATGTGATCAATACATCTCTTGGGGTATATCAATATTAGATGTCTTACATCCAATGCTCTTTAAAATAATTCTAGGAAAAATGTACAGACTGCTAGCAAAATCAATAAGGAGTTTTAGGCCTAGTATTTTGCTATTGGAGTGGACGTGAAGTCTGGCATGGTTACCTGGACAAGACCTTGAAGAGATTAAGCAATGACTACATGTAAGACAATTGTGCATTAGGCAATTAAATATAAAATATTTATAATTAAAAATATATTAATGGGGCAAACGGCAAGTATCAACAAACATGATACAATACAAACGTGCTACAGTTTGCACTGTGAATATTATGTTGGCGCCTGTCTTCTATCAGTGATACCAACATCAATTGCTACACCACCTCCAGCTGAAAAGCCTTTTTAAAAAGCCTTACACTGAATTATTTACTGTGCAGCATGCAACAGACATAATGGAGCCAGAATAAAAATGTTTATTTGTAACGTGAACAACAGAAAATGAATCGCCAAGCGCACTCTATAATCAACTGGCGAGTAGGAAAGCTTCATTATGACCTCGACAATTATGGTAGCCTTCATCTGATCAACTGATTGGATATAAAACCATGCTCTACAATCTCCTTGTCAAATATGGCAGTATTACTAATTAGATGACCAGGTATGGTAATCCTATAGATTGATCACCTGAGTATGGTAAACATATTACATAATCTCCAAGCTGAGTATGTCATTCCTTCTCCGTAATTAATTGGTTTATAATGTTAATATAATTGCCTAGCTATGAGCCTGGCAAACATGTGATTAAGTTGGGTTTAACAATCCCATTATTCATAAATTGTTTTTCTGCAAGGTTGTCTTGTTACAACAATCTTGTTCTGTAACTACAGTAACTAGACATGACAACCAGAACTTTGATTCCTGGTCAAGCAGATTATGCATGATAACTGAAGGACCATTTATGGTATGGCAAATTGGTCAAGCATAGCAAAGTTCTTCACTGATCATCTGGTCAAGTATGAAAAACTTACTTGCAATAACATAATTAGGTATGTCATTTCTAATCTGTGATAACCTAGTTATGTATGAGAAACCTATATGATCACCTCGTCCACTGTAGCAACTGCTGAGTAATCACGAGGTAGCTTTTTTAGGAGATCTGGCTGGAGACTTCGACATTGGAGACTTCGCTGCAGATGACTTAGCCACCGGTGACTTAGGTGGCTGTGGGGACTTGTACGCTTTTCCATAGGGTTTGCTGCCACCACGTGGGGAACTTGGAGAGACTAGGGGAGATGTTCCACGGGATGGAATCTTCCCAAGTGTGTTCTTAGTGATGGCAAGAGTGGTAGGGTGCTCCAGGTTGGGAGTGCCTGGTGGGGATGTGGAGGGAGTACTATTCACCCCATGAGATCTTTTCTTGGGGCTGCCGTGTGGGGTACGATTCAAGTGTTCGGGAGAATTTGGGGTCTTAGATAAAGGAAGTGGTGGAGGCATGTGAGGTAGTATCAAACTCTTCATCTCCACAAATCTTTTCAAAATATCATCCTGAAAATAATTATATTGTAAAAGCATCACTGTTACATGTCTAATACATTATTTATGATGTGAAACCTAATTCAATATATTCTTAGAATATGCCAGTAGAATACATTACATTGAGGAAGGAAAGGAAAGAAAAAAGTATACAAGGAGAAGTAGTAACGTTAGACATTTTCATGTATACCGAGATTATCTTGCTGGGAAAACTAGAGCTAAAATAGATATGTTTGGATTGCAGTCGATCAAGAAAGGTCTCCCCAGGCTATTATATCTTGGGGAGTGAAAAAGAGTTGGACGATACGTATACAATGTACATATAATAAGTAGAGAATACAATGAGTACGTGAAATATAATGAACTTAGGTTTTGAGTAATAGGCATAACATGCTTTAAAAAGAGATAGGAAGTTTGTGATGTGGTGGTGGTGTAATTACTAAGTGTAGTTACAGGATAAGAGCTACGCTCGTTGTGTCCTATCTCCCAGTACAGTACTCTGTCATATTACGCTTTGAAACTACTGACGATTTTGGCCTCCACCACCTCACTTAACTTGTTACAACAGTCCATCACTCTGAGAGAGTTGATTTTCTAATATTTTTTTCAGTAGCTGTGTTTAGTTAGTTTAAATCTATGACCTCTTGTTCTTGAAGTTCCAGGTCTCAAGAATTCCTTCCAAATTTTGTCAATTCCTGTTTCTATTTTGTATGTAGTGATCATATTGCCTCTGTTTCTTCCATTTTCTAGCTTTGGCATATTTAATGCCTCTTACCTCTCCTCGTAGCTCTTGTTCTTCAGTTCCAGAAGCCATTTAGTTGCATATCTTTGCACCTTTTCTAGTTTGTTGATGTGTTTTTAAGATATGGTCACCATACAACTGTTGCATATTCTTTGGTCTCACAAAGGTTGTGAAAAATTTCTTTAGTATTTCTCCACCCATCTATTTAAAAGCAATTCAGAAACTGGAAAGCACAGCATAGGCTACTCATACAATGTTCTTTATGACGTACTCAGCTGACAGTTTTCTATCTAGAATCACCTCTATATCTCTTTATCAGAATTCTTTAAAGCTTTTTCACATAATTTGTAGGTTGGGTGTAGCCTATTTTCTCCTATTCCGCATTCCGTAATGCAATATTTATTCACATTAAATTCTATTTGCCAAGTGTTGCTCCAGACATTTATTTTGTCCAGGTCTTCTTGAAGGATATGATAATATCTAAGTTTCTTATCTTCCCTATTATCTTGGAATCTTCAGCAAACATGTTCATATAATTCTGTATTGCTTCTGGCAGATCGTTTATGAAGGAAATGAACATTACCGGTGCAAGACTTGAACCTTGTGGTACTCTACTAAACATGTTTGCTGATGATGCTAAGATAATACAGAAGATAAGAACCTTAGATAATTGTCATGTCTTTCAAAAAGACTTGGACAAAGTAAGTATATGGAGCACCACTTGGCAAGTGGAATTTAATGTGAATAAATGCCATGCTATGGAATGTGGAATAGGAGAACATAGACCCCACACAACCTACATAAATATACACATATATCTCACATATAAATTATGCGAGACATCTTTAAATTACACTAGTAACATTTCTCCAGTCTGATACATTGCCTTTAATCCTTAAACTGCCCAATGCACCTGCAGGCTCACGTCCGGTTTGCGCAACGAGCCCCCGGGTATTTGTATTTTTTGCGTTCCCTTCAAAACTGGCGCACGGTGACCCGGGTACGAATTGGATGCCTTGGGGCCCCAGTGATCGTCAGCCATCTTGAAAAAAATTCAAATGGGGAGACTCAGTTTCAAAGCAGCAACTATGTCTGACGCATTGTCTACGAGCTCCCGCTCCACGGTGACCCGCGGTCATGGAAAACCCATCTCTGAGGAGGAGATACGTGACTTTTGTATGATGACCTAGACTATGATCCAGAGAAAGACCTTACACAGAGGTCTGATACGAGTGAAGGAGAAACTGAGGTAGACGATGTGGCGAGCGCGTATGGTACACGCGCCTCACCCGGCCTGCCTCGCCACCCTAGGTCAACACGGTTATCACCACCACCACCACCATGTATGTCGCCAGACGCAAGTTTATTTAGTGACAGTACATACGATGAATCGTTCTCGGGCTTCAGTGACATAGGCTCCGATACGAAAAGTGTGGACGACCCGAGTACAAGCAGCGAGGGTGTTACCAGGCGGGGTTTTGCTGCCTCAGCAACACATTGCGGCAGCGTGTCTCACAGCAACGGAACAATGACAGTGGCCCCTCAATATCAGGTATTCGTGGTAGGCCGGGGCCTAGGGAGGGAGGGAGCCGGTCAGCCAAGAGGACAGCACGCTGGACTTGTGATCCTGTGGTCCCGGGTTCGATCCCGGGCACCGGCGAGAAACAATGGGCAGAGTTTCTTTCACCGTATGCCCCTGTTACCTAGCAGTAAAATAGGTACCTGGGTGTTAGTCAGCTGTCACGGGCTGCTTCCTGGGGGTGGAGGCCTGGTCGAGGACCGGGCTGCGGGGACACTAAAGCCTCGAAATCATCTCAAGATAACCTCAAGATAGGCCTATAGTATGTAAATCTGCCTCTTCGCCTAGCATACCTTCACGCAGCTCCAGCAGCAGACGACATAGCCGTGTTTTTGGTGCTCGTGGTGGTGTTGGCGCCATCACCTCCACAGGATACCTGATCAACCAGGCTGTGACTCGTACGTCAGGCTGCGAGCAGCCGCGTCCAACAGCCTGGTTGATCAGTCCGGCAACCAGGAGGCCTGGTTGACGACCGGGCCGCGGGGACGCTAAGCCCCGGAAGCACCTCAAGGTATACTCAAGGTATCACCAAACCCCCGGGTGTATTTGTGTGGGAGGACTGAGCCACATTTGTCCCTCACATACCAACGTTTGATACAAGCGATTTTGGTGTTACACCATTATTCCCATATACCGGTGATGATATGGCAGAAATGGAATATTTCAAGGCGTATTTCGACAATGAATTCATGGCGCATCTTGTGACAGACAAACAGGTTCACTCACAGCCTCATAGACGCCGGCATTTTACCTGCCTCACGCGATGGCAGGACACGACATTGACGAAATGTACGTGTTTCTGGCACTCAGCATGATGATGAAGCACTCCGAGAAAGCTGTCGTCAGGATTATTGGAGCAGACAGCCTAGTTCCATCGCCTGTGTTCAACCGGTATATGTCGCGTGATAGGTTCCTCTTGATTCTCAGGTGCCTGCATTTCGAGAATAATGCATTTAAATGAGGACAAGAACGACAGACTGTGGAAGGTACGGAAGGTGTTCAGTGACATGAGAGGGAAGTTCAGAGATTATTTTGTACCTGGACAGAATGTGGTTATCGACGAGTCGTTAGTACTGTTCAAGGGGCAACTGGCATTCAAGCAGTATATCCCATCACAGCGGCACCGTTTTGGACTGAAGTTTTCATGCTGTGCGACTGAGACTGGTTTGATGTTGGACATGATATTGTCTTCTGGTACAGACGTCGACATACCAGCTCAAGATGAACACGGGTTCTCCGGCAGTGTCATATAAACCCTGATGGAAAAGGGAGGGAGAGGGGGGGGGGGGGAGATGGAGGGCGAGAGGGAGGTTGGGGAGTGGAGGGGGAGGGAGGGAGTGAGTGAGGGAGGGGGAAAGGGAGAGAGGGAGGGTGCAGGGGGGGAGAGAGGGTGGGAGGGAGAGGGAGCGAGGAACGGGGGGAAGGGGGAGAGAGAGGGAGGGGGAGAGGGAGGAAGGGGAGGGGAAGAGGGAGAAAGGGGAGAGGGAGAAAGGGAAGGGGGAGAGGGAGAAAGGGGAGGGGGGAAGAGGAAGGGGTGGGAAGAGGAAGGGGGGGAAGGGGAAGAGGAAGGGGGGGGAAGGGGAAGAGGAAGGGGGAGGGGAAGAGGAAGGGGGGGGAAGAGGAAGGGGGGGGGGGAAGAGGAAAGGGGGGGGGGAAGAGGAAAGGGGGGGGGGGGGAAGAGGAAGGGGGAGGGCCGAGACGACCCCCCCCCCCCCCCCCCCCACACACACACGAGGTACGAGAGGTTAGAGGCATCAAATATGCCAAAACTAGAAGACAAGAAAAAGAGGTGATATGATCACTACATACAAAATAGTAACAAGAATTGATAAAATCGATAGGGAAGATTTCCCGAGACCTGGAACTTTAAGAACAAGAGGTCATAGATTTAAACTAGTTACACACAGATGCCAAAGAAATATAAGAAAATTCACTTTCGCAAACAGAATGGTAGATGGTTGGAACAAGTTGAGAAGGTGGTGGAGGCCAAGACCGTCAGTAGTTTCAAAGCCTTATATGACAAAGAGTGCTGGGAAGACGGGACACCATGAGCGTAGCTCTTATCCTGTAACTACACTTAGGTAATTACACAGGTTGTGTAATGTGAGCTTGTGAGGTTATTGACCTGCATTTATATCCAAGTGACGGGAACTGTAATCGTTAATCTGGCAAGCGAGAGATTTTTTTTTGTTAGTGACTTATCCCTTTTTCTGTGGTTAAATAAAAGTAATGCACACACATTGATTGTTTCTCGAGTTTTGCCAATGCAAAAATATTGTACCGGTCACACATGGTTGTTCTTGTCTTTGAAGTGTTTATAATTGCATATTGGTTCACCATCCCTGGTTTAAAGTAACATACCTATACTGTAAGTAAGAAAGTAAGGATGGGTTTCCTGAGCTCATACTCTAGGAAGATGGCTTACAAGTTCATGACCTTACAACCTTGGGGGACCTCAATACAAGGCTAATATATGTATATACATGCTTTCTGTCCAAATTCAAAACTCAAATTTAAATTTGTATTCAGGTAAAAATACATACATAGGAGATGAGTTACAAACAAAGTTGGATTTACAGATAGAGCTAGTATATACAATACCTAAAGCCACTAATACGCATAGTGTTTCGGAAAAGTCCCTGACAAAAAAAATTATTAATACACAGGAATTCAATCCTCAATTCTTTGGAAGAATATAGAAATTACTTAAAAATATATAAAAGGAGAAAGAAAATGGAGTTCACTGTCCTATACGTAATGAGAAAAGGGACAGGGCAAAGAATAGCAAGAAAGGGCAGACTGAGGACAACAAATATAAGCAGAGAAACTAAATTATGATATTACAGTACTGTACCTTGTGTTCACAGAGGTCATCTATTTTGGCTCCTAATTTGGCTCGTAGATAGTAATGATGAAAAACCTTTCCATCCCAAAATGCCCAAGGAACTGCCTGTTGGGAAATAAATGTGCAGCTTAAGAGGTCATCTTAAATTACATTCTTATTCACCTTGTATGCATTCAATGATGATAACCAAAGAAGAATGAATTTTCTACAACCATTTTGCTATTTTTTCTACTGAGCTTTTTCTACTCTATAAGCCTAGCCAGAAGCCAGGCTTCAATGAAGACAAGTTTTATATTCAGTGGTGAGTGCACAAAATATTCCTAGCTTGTACAGAACAAGAGCAAACAAGTGGCAACCAATACATGTGTCACAATTACTTTAGTACACGACGATACTGACCATTACCATAACATAATGAGGCATTTTCTTTTGTAACAGGCACCTAAAAAATTAAACAAGATACAACCACTATCTGCCATGTCTGAAATTAGTCCACTGACAAAGCCTGTCTGGGTATTTAATATGCCCAGACTTGTCTTCATGGCCTGAATTTATGAAACTACAGTATTTGTCCACAAAGTTGCAAATGTGTGCTTCACTCAGTCAAGTGCTGGTAATAATATTCCTACTAAGAACTGAACAAGAACATGGCACAAATGACTTGAATACCAAGAATGACAACACTGGGCAAGTCCTTTTGGTATGGATTATTCATAACATGTACATAGGATTTCCTCTATCAAAAATTATTATTTTAAGGCAAAAACCATTGTGAAAAACTCGTGTACAAACCTCATGCAAATCTTTGCCTCTGTGGATGGTCTGCACTGATTTAAAATACAAGACAGCCTTCCCTTTAATATGGAATATGATATGGATGACACTAGGGACTAGCCAATTTAGTTAGTATTATATGCACTGTACTCTATAATGTAAAGACACGTTTCTGAACCATCACATTTGGTTGCCTTCATGGTAAGATTCACTACATCTCACGACCAGCATCATAACTATTAGGCACAATGATACTCTGGCACTGGCATCACAGTGTATTTTCTATCAACCCTGCAGGGTCATAACAAGATGCTACAGAGTTACAGGAAATCCCTCAATCCAGTCCAGAATGATTGTTTGGGTTGAGGACATTAATAGTTATAATAATAACAACAGAGCAATAGCTAATTATTCACATTCCAACCTGGCTACCTAGCCTACACCATCTACCACTAGGAAACAGCACTATTCACACAAGATTTAAATTACCAGACCACATTCTCCGTCAAACATGGCAGTTCGACTATCAAACAGGCACCAGTTCTCATGCAAATTGACACATTTGTCCTTTTTCTCTCTGGTGTGACTAGGATTCTTCCTATTCCTTTCAGTCAGGGGTGGAGAAGCTGGTGACGTGTGTTTTACATTCATGGACTGTAGAGTCCACAAATTAAAATATTAGTTAAAAATGAGCGCCTTTAGATTGCAAACAATTTGATACCAAAATGAATGGTGTAGCATGAAAATTAAGGTGAGAAAACTGAAAAATTGTATACAGATTTTAGTGTGGGTGTTATGGGTGTGCGGATGGGTGCACACTCACGGGTAACGCTCGGCGGATTTTCTGGTTTGCTGCAGGTAGCGTGCCTGGTTTTTTTACCTTGTATGCTTAAATAGAGTACCTTTAGAGAATTCTATTGCGAACAATTTGATACCAAAATGAACGATGTAGTACGAAAATTGAGGTGAGAAAACTGAAAAGAGTACTGTATACACAGTTTAGTGCGGGTGTGTACTCCCAGGAAACACCCGGCCGACCTTACAGTGGGCTGGGGCTCGCGCGCCCGGCCTGGCAAAGTGTTAATATGGGCAAACAGTTGAGGGCTAAGTGCCCCCAGGAAAAGTAGTTTCAACATATTTATCGATAGTTTTTTTTATTCGTTGCCTTTTTTTTCCATCTCTGGGTTCAGGGTTGTTTGACTTCCTTGCAGATTTCACAGGCAGGCCCATCCTCTACCATGGTTGAGGAAAAAATTATCAGAGGCAACAATACAGGAGCCAATTTGGTTTCAGTTTAGTCTCCCTTAAGCTTAGATCACCAGGCTGGACAGACTTTGTGAAGGTGGGGAGCATGTAATCCCCCCTCCACTCCTCCTGGTCTGAGCTTGGCAAGTCTTCTTTAACATCTTTAGTTAGGTTTATCATTCATTAAAGGGCCCGGTGCATGTGGAGACTTTTCCAAATACTGTATGAAAAATAGCAAAATTTAAAAAAAAAAAAAAAAAAAAAAAAAAAAAAGTCTCCCATTATTTGGCATTAGCGTTGTGAAAATTTAATCCCAATATGTTAAGAAATGGATTTTTTACAAATTGTTTAAAAATAAATGCATGAGCGTCAGGTGGCAACCTGTTCTGATAAAGACGATAACACCTCCTATTTTCTGGAAATTAGGGATAAAGAGATGCAAGCACCTGTCCGATGCACAAAGAAGACAAGTAGTAGAAAGGAGGGTCTATATAGTGGACATGCCACTGGTGCCACCTGGCAGACCAGATTTCACACATAATAATGAGATAGTACTGTATGTAATTATGCTGTATTCTATTATATATCATATAAGTACATTGAACAGTGAAAATGGAGAATATATATCCAGCACTAAGCATGTGAAGTTTGAACGAAATTGGTCAACATGTTAATCAGCCACAGGTGGCAGAAGTTATTTTGGATGGCCACATTCAAAATATGTTTTACAGTAAACTATACTCTAAAACAATTTTCTTACTAGCAATTGAACGTTTTATGCCATTCTGAGACCATAATGAATAAAATAACAATTGATGACATAAGATATTCATAGCAATTTGAAACAGATTTTTTTTGCTTAACTTTTTTTACGTTTATGTTGTGATGTCGACTGATAAGGAAAAAGTGGAGCATTTGCCATGAGGATTATGTACAAAAAAAATTGAGCATGTATGAGGAAGGTTTGGTGCCCATGCACCGGGCCCCTTAAGTGGCTGTTGAACAGACTCGAGAAGGTTCCCTTGCTTAGTATATCTCTGTCCATTATCTGTGGTATTATTTTAATGTCCCAGTGGACCGGTGGTAATTGTGTATGACTTTTCCACCTTATGTAGGTGATTTTAAGTTTATGTTTAGTGTCATTCTGTATCACTTGGCTTGTCAACTTTTATTTGTCCACATTTGATAATTTCAAGTGAACTGTAGAGACAACAGTGGACTAGACCCAAATAAGAACACTTCCAGTGTGGTAAATTCCAGTGTTAATATTTTGAGTCTTAGATTACATCTATTTCTTGAGTAAGTCCAAGTTTTGTTGGACTAGAGATCCCTTGCAATTATCTTATCCAACAACACTGAAGCCAAGTTCAAGAAATACATATTAATTTTGTAAACTTTATCATTCAGGTTATATAAATAAACCCATTGTAATTTCAGAAGCTATTATTTACAAACTCTTTTTACTCTGTATAACTGTACTTGAATTACAGTGTGAAGAACGAGTTCCTTGCATGGTAAGCATTTGTGAACTGGTGTTCTATTAATGTGAATTACTATACTTCTGGGAAGGACATTCTATTTCTTAACCCTTGGACAATGGCTATAGAAAAATATTCATGCCTGTGTGGGGAAAAAAAAGAAATTACCCCGGGAATCAACATATGATAATAATTGCTGTTTAAGGGTTAAAGATTCCATTACTGTATATTTACCCCACTCGTTTAGTAAGGATGAGTAGAAATAACCTCATGCCCCTACAACTTCACCATAGCATATATGAAGTTATATTATTCAGGATATCAACCTGGATGATGTCCTGAAGTTATTTGTTTGTTTGTTTGTTTAAGAGCACGTTTCTTCCTAATTTCAGGCAGTAATCACCAAGCTGGGTGATTTGAGCTTTTCAATAGTTAGCTAAGGCACACCTTGGCAGGGATGCCAGATTTGAATTGCCAAAAGTCATGAGCAGATCAACTAAGTCACAAAATTTACTATAAAAGGAAGTAAAATATTTTTTTGTTGCAATTGTTTCACTTTCAGAGTACACAGGTCAACTTATTTTAACAGTAGCTAAAGAGTGCAGATAGTGTATACTTGCAGATACTATCTGCATGCTACTGTCTGCATACAGTAGCTATCACAAAATGGGTCTAGATATTAACCCATACTTATTTCACGGATCTTCAGAATGATTGGTAGAAATGGTAACTTACATTCTTACGATGAATTGGAAAGTCACAGGTTGCCAGGAGAAAATAGAAATTAGCCAGTCCCTTCATGAAGATGGCAGCAACATGTACAGCTCGTGCGTCAACTCGTGGAAGTGCAAGGGCACGAATCTGGTTAAGGTCTTCTCGTGTTGGTGACAAAAAGGCAGCCATCATAGCATTCATCTCCCAATCCTTCAAAATTGGTTTGGCATGATGGCACTGAAATAAAAAAAAAAAAAGGGTTGAATGTAATGAAATGCCATTTACTGGATGAGCTCTGGAGGGTCTCTGAAAATATCCAAACTGATATATGGTACATTAGTTTGCAGTCTCAGTTACACGAGTCTTTATGCCTACTGGGGACCACGAGCCAGAACCTGACCCCCTCAGAGAGGAGCAGGGAGCAATGGCCTATGAGCACTTTACATTTAAGGTAAAGTGGTAATTGTCAATGACCAGGGAAGGACCCAGAAAGGTAGGCAAATCAAAATAGACCACTGTCTGGGTAACCTGTACATCTGAAAAGATCAAAATAACTCCCCCTAGAAAGAAACCCATAAAGCAACACTTCATGCAACTAGCACCCTCACTCGTTAGTGCTACCAAGTAGGAAGGAAGGGGAGGGGGAAGCTGGCAGCCCACCACTCCCGTTCTTGAATGGTGAAAACCGCTGACCGAAGGGAGGGAGTGTCTTGGGAAGCCTCTGGAGCTCACTCAGAAAATGGCGTTACATTACATTCAAATCTGGTTTTCTGTGGGGAACCCCATCGGCTCCCTGAAGCTAACTACCGTAAGTAAAAGGAGGGACTTGCCCGGGAAGGTCTTCAGACCGCAGGTCTGAAGACTAGGAAGAGACAGATGACCTCGACAGGTGCCCCAAAGCCACACAAGGCTGAGAAGGAACTGGAACATTCACGAGACACCTGGTGGCCACAACTGGTGGACATCCAAAACCCCCGCGCCTGAATGCCGACCTAAGACATGTTGCTAGAAACTGCCGCAAGAGCAGCACACATCCTAACATCATGGCAACGAGGTTAGACAGTAGGCTGGCTATCTTGAGATGATTTCGGAGCTTTAGTGTCCCCGCGGCCCGGTCCTCGACCAGGCCTCCACCCCCAGGAAGCAGCCCGTGACAGCTGACTAACACCCAGGTACCTATTTACTGCTAGGTATCAGGGGCATAGGGTGAAAAACTCTGCCCATTGTTTCTCGCCGGCGCCTGGGATTGAACCCTGGACCACAGGATCACAAGTCCAGCGTGCTGTCCGCTCGGCCGACCGGCTCCCTTTGGAGCCGGTCGGCATTAGAAAACCCGAGACACATGTTTCCTTGGGAACCAAGGAAACCGATTCCACCCAGTGAGCCTCCACTGGCACAGAACTAGTGAACTGCAGGTAGCTGCGTAAAGCTGCCACCGGACACCACGTGACCCCCCCCCCCCCCCACGGCCTAACCAACCAAGCATCTACAACCAACAGATCCCTCCAGAAACCAGCTGTCTCATTCCACGCCAGAAAGAAGGAGAAGGCAGAAAAGGACCAAAACGATCACCTTGAACCAAACGAGCAAAATCCTCAGGGTCGGAGATCATGAAGCTTCATAAACTGACCTCCAGAGGCGAAGGGCAACAAAAACAATTCCTTCCAAAATCAATCTTGAACCGAAAGGGCCACAACAAAGCGAGAAGATATAAAAGAAAGAACGCAGTTTAAAAACCAAGAAGGCTCAGGCAACACATGAGCATACTGAAGGAGAGGAAAACCTAGCATGAGAAAGCTATAGGAACGGAGTGGAAATAGCATTCACCCTGAATGTAAGCAGCAGTGGCTCCACTACCTCCGCACAATACGCAAGAGATGCCGATCCCAAAAAACAAGAGAGAAAGAACAAAACAGTCTAGTCCAAAAACGATGAAAACCGACAAAGAGAAAGAAAATGATAAAGACCGCTAAGAAACTTCATACTGTTGCTGAGAAGCAGATTGCAGAAGGGACACCATCAAAGAAGCCACCTGATCACCATATAAATGGCAATACACACGCGTTGGAAAAGCCAGATGCGTAGTGTGGACCAGTAAGGCGAATAGCGAGGTATCTCATTGGCCCGACCTGCTGAAACAAGCACAGCCACAGAATAAAATGCCAGGTTTGGACACCGAGCAAGCAGCGCCTGAAACCAAGGTTGGGCTGGGCTGGAATCTTCTGGCCATGGAGCCAGAGGAATCACTCACCCCAATATGAATCCAACTGAGCCAGAACCTAGAGCAACAGGGTCAATTAGCACTACAGGAAGCCCAGGCACTGGGACCCGCTAAGCCAGCAGAATCCTGTCAGGTAGCAGGCAAACTGACCACCAGTAGCAGCTATGAAACGTCGGGGGCAACAAAAGAGGACTTCCAACACAACCTAGTCTTGCCTAATAAGAAGCTAAGCAGACTTTCTCTGTCTAAAGAAGGCAAGAATGTCAGAATGAAAAGAGAACAAAATCAAAATCCACCAAACACGCACAATAAACTGGCAGTCAAAGAGAAACATCAGCCGCTGCATTACTGGGGACAAGACAGAAAGCCCTAGACCCCCGACGTATCCCAAGGCAAAGACAACATCAAGTGATGAAGTCTTCAAATGAGGAGTGAGTCTCGAATGCCCCAGAGAAGATAACCCTGACACACAAAGGCAATACTCACTGAGCACTAGGGAAGGTCACCTTACCTACCTTGAGGTTACCTTGAGGTGGTTCCGGGGCTTAGCGTCCCCGCAGCCCGGTCATCGACCAGGCCTCCTGGTTGCCGGACTGATCAACCAGGCTGTTGGACACGGCTGCTCGCAGCCTGACGTATGAATCACAGCCTGGTTGATCAGGTATCCTTTGGAGGTGCTTATCCAGTTCTCTCTTGAACACTCTGAGGGGATTGCCAGTTATGCCCCTTATGTGTAGCGGAAGCGTGTTGAACAGTCTCGGGCCTCTGATGTTGATAGAGTTCTCTCTCAGAGTACCTGTTGCACCTCTGCTTTTCAACGGGGGTATTCTGCACATCCTGCCATGTCTTCTGGTCTCATGTGATGTTATTTCTGTGTGCAGGTTTGGGACCAGCCCCTCTAATATTTTCCACGTGTAAATTATTATGTATCTCTCTCGCCTGCGCTCAAGGGAGTAGAGATTTAGGCTCTTTAGTCGGTCCCAATAGTTTAGGTGTTTTACCGAGTGGATTCTAGCAGTAAAGGATCTCTGCACACTCTCCTTTACATTGCCTTGATCCTTTACAATACATGGTCACCCTAGGCGCATGCAGCTCCTGTACTCCATTACACCTGGCCATCACACCACACACAGGTGGAACAACCACACAGGGCAAAAATCCAGAACATGAACTTGAGGCCAGAGGTGACTTAACTGAGCACATCATTTCAAAAACTGGAGTGGTGAGCTTCCCCTCCCCCATATGGGGGTATGGGGGGGGAGTAACACTAACAAGCGGGAGTGCTAGTTGTACGAAGTGTTGCCCATTGGATTTCTTTTTAGGAGAGGTATTTTCATCATTTCAGATGTGGATTGCACAGGTTAATCAGACAGTGGTCTGTTTCGATTTACCTACCTTTCTGGGTCCTTCCCCAGTTGATGGCAATTATGACACACTTTAAATGTAAAGTGCTCATAGGCCATTGCTCCCTGCGCCCCTCTGAGGGGACCAGGTTATGGCTTGTGGTCCTCGGTAGACATACGGACTGCTGTGACCGACGACCCCAAACTAATATAACAACAATTCGGATAGCTTCAGGGAGCTGACATGGCTCCCAACATAAAAAAATTTGGCAAGTGTTGAATGTAACAAAATGCTCTCTTCTGGCAGACCCCTAGCTTAACCCTTGTACCACCAAGACTTAGATAAAGGCACCAGGCTTTTCAAAGACCCATCCATCTCTTACTGGAAGCCGGTTCCAGAATCCTGGCTCACTATGAGGCAAGGGGATTAGGGATCAACCACTAAGATAGGAAAAATTCACCAAAAAGCATAAAACAAGAAACTGCTTTAAGGAAATTAGGCATCAAAATAAACAAAACAAATGACTGTTGGTGGAAGATAAATACCCTAATCATGTTCACACAAATCACTGCAGGAAGAGGGAAACAGAGCAGGGATGGGGAGACAACAGAGACCTGTCTGAAAAGAGCATTTCCTTAACATTCAATCATTGATTTCTGGGGTGGACCCCTCGGTAGCTTCATGAGCTTACCCACAACTGTGTCTCAAGAGAAGTGGATTTTCTGGGAAACACAAAAGGTGCACTAGCATGACTTGTGGGGGAGGGGGACGAAGAGTAAGAGAGGTGGGTCTGGAAGACCACAGGACAATCAACAATCAACAAGAGGACAACAATGTGACTGCCAGAAGCTCAAGAGCCTGAACATCAGCTAATGGACAGAATGGAAAATTAACCTATGAAACCAGCAAACATTTGCACATCCTCAGACAAACACATTGGTTTGGTTCAGCAAAACATTATGAATAGGACCTGAAAAAGGAAAGTCTTTGAACAATGAGCATAAAAGCAGACAACAGACTTCTAGCTAACAGTGCAAAGAGTGCAGAAAACCAGCATCAAGTGCAATGAAATCCCTCTTTCTGGGAGGGCCTCAGTGGCTCCGGACAGCTAGCCACATACTGAGATCTCCACACACCCCTTAAACAAGTGTTTAAAACCAGAGGCTTGCAAACTTTCCCATAGAAAACAGTGGGAATTGCAACCACACCACCTGCTCTAGACAGGGGCTGCAAATGCATACGTCAGGAAGCTCAGTCAGTTAGGTGACCAGTCTAGAAGGCTGCTCAGCTAAAAGCAAAGTCCAGTGTTGACAACAGCACATACTCACAGATGAAAGGAACCCAGAACCTAACAAATCATAGGAGAGGGAACAGGAAATTACATTGATGTCTACAAACATCATGATGTGTAGCAATGATCATTTACTTTGTTTGCCATGTGGTGCCTAATTTACTTGAAGCAGTTACTCGACTTGTTTCACCTATGCTTTCTAGTGGGCTTTTCCCCAGTTTTATGAATGATCTCCGACTCCCTGCTCCCCTCTCCTCAAAGACGAGCCAGATTCTGGTCCTGAACAACAGATGGAGCTCAGAGGCCTGGTGTATTAAGCCAAGACTTGGTGGTACCAGAGCTAAGCTCAAAAGACAACTTGATGTACCTCCTAGAAAAATTATTACAAAAATTATAAAGTTTGATTTATAAAATCAAACTGGGTTTGTTTACTATGGCAGGACAGACACATTTGGAGAAGTTTCCATTCACTTTAAGTTCACCTAGCAGTAAATACAGTGACCAAGAGTAAAGCAACTATTGTGGGTTGCAGCCTGGGATAGTTCATTAGTTGTGGGAACCTAATAAGCCCAACAGGCTTCCTGTCCCCAACAATGGGAAATCAAACCAAACCATACATTCAGACAAACACAAGCATCAAACAATAAATGTGAACTCAAGCGAGTGCAAGTTGCATCATGGGTTAAAGAGTACTTTACCACTGATTTGATTTGACCTTACATGACCCTTGACCCAGGTTTATACCCGACACTGTATGGGTCTCGAACTGTGTACCCCACGCATGTGAGGTCATAGCTCTATCAACTCAACTATGAGCAGTCTTATAAAGGAAAGTTTCTAGAAGCAGCACCCTGCTGCCAAACTGGAATCTGTATGTCGTTACTGTCAGACCTCTACAATACATTAAAGCAGTATTTAATGAAAAAGTGAGGAAGAAAGCATGATGCATTAATATACTTGTGGTTTGTATCACTAGGCAAGCTCCATTTGTTCCAATACTGAACTCTCAAATTCAGTTAACAAACCTCAAAATAATTACCCCACAGATTCAGATTGTGTATGTTATGACTGACTGCATAGCTTCAGGCAAGGTATGCATTACCTTTATGTAGATATTTAAGCTAACCTGCAAATAGAAGAGAATGGCAACTGGCACAATGAGGTGTTGAGGAAAAGTGCGGATCTTCGTTTCACAGAGCACTGGATGGACACAGTCGAGGAAGGTTCTCCACTTAAGTTCTTCATCGCCATCCCACAGCTCCTCCAATGATGGACTCCCTCCTGTAAATGTTACTTATTTTCAGAAATAATCTACAAAATAAAATAAGAATAATGTACATTATTTTCCAAAAAGATGATACTTTTCCTCAACTATGTCTTATCCATTAAGGGTTACATATAGTTATATATATCTATTGCTCTGATGCCTCATTCGCTTTATGTCCTCTACCTAAATATGCTCTTTCAACCTGTTCCATTTCTTTTACCAGGAAACCTTTGATGCTCTTCCATTTTCCCTTTCCATGATACTAGCGATCTTTCCATCACAGATTCATTCTGTATTTTGTATACCTTCTCCAGTTCAATCTTCATCTTTTCTGAATTCCCTGTGTAATACTTCTATCCTTCCCAACCTTATTTCTTTCACTTTGTTGTATTTTACACTCCACTCATTCACACAGTATACTGCCATTCTGTGATATTTTCTGTATACCACTGGCACTTCTAAATACTGTACTGTACAGAAATCAATTTCCTCTAGTTTTATTCTTGACCTCTATATTCTATTCCACATGCATTCCTCTCGCTTGCTTATTGAGATTGTGGACATGGTTTGCTCTTTCTAAATCCTAATAAAGTATATAAATTCCCTTGTGTAATAATCCCTTCCGTATTTATTTTTCAATTGTGCCATGTTTACATAAAACTGATATCAAAACCCAATCCCCAGACTGTCTCCAATACATCACTCTTGATCAAAGTCATATGTAATCCCATTTATTACATAAAGCAAAGAAAAATCGAGCATTTCACTGTCTCTGGTTTTAGGACTTACTCTTAAGGACATACAATTTTAGCCTCGTGTTATATCAGTCTACAACTAGCTCATTTCTCACATTGTTTTTATTCTAACAATTTTGCTAACACTAATGAATAATTGGCAAAAAAAAAAAAAAAAATTTATAATGGGTTGACATTTTACCAACCAGTTCTAACTTGATGCTAATTTCCTCCCACCTATGCCTTCACGTCTCTCACTACTCCATCTACGTATTTTGTAGCATTATAATCATTATAAAGCCAAATATACAAAGTTATATTTTTCATATACAACACAGTATATTTAAAAATGCAAAAAGCAATGCCAACTGAGATGCTGGAAGATAAGATTAACCCTTAGACTGATTAATTATCAAACATATGTACAATACTTCATATCATGTATAATACTTGATATGAATTAAATTTGAGTGTCTTTCTAAACACTGCAAAACTTTTTTTGAGGTAATTATAGCTGCTCTTGATGGGTTTAAGAATTCATTAGTACAGTAGATCTTCATTTTACTCATTGCCACAACACTGAAGATAAACGTGGGACATAAAATATGCCTTAATACTGAAAAATGCTTATGTATGTTCAGCTTACCTTCCAGTTCCACAGGATCTACCATGTCTGGCTCCTTCAATGTGCTGCCAGAGTACATGCACCACTCTGGCACCTGGCTCAGTCCATCTGTCAATACCAAACTAAGGTCAAGTCTCCTCTTAAACTATTAATTGCTCTTAATCTTGTAACTTATATACCTCTCTCGCTATACAACAGGGTGGCTTCATTTGTCTAAAATAATTTCCAAGTACAGACCCTTTTCATTCTTGCATATTTGTCCTATACATCACATGGCCTGCTGGCAATACAATGGAATGATCAAGTGCAAGTTCTATTTCAATGTTGGATGACCTTTCTTGACAGCAGAATGGAATAAATGCTAATACTGTAATATTATAAATTGTAATAAAAAATGGCTCTCTCTATTAATAACCTGAACAGATTTTTGTTATAAAACAAAAAACTATGCATTACAGTAATATACAGTATTTCTAATTTATAGCTAAAATATATAAAAAATAGCCATGGTGTAAATATGAGATAAATAATAGATACTTAATGCTTACAATCTTTATGTACATTACCAACTGTAAGTACAGTAGGCAAATTTGAAAAATTAACAAAATTTGATGGATATTATATCAAACAAATATCTGAAGTGTGAATAAAGTAGTCTAGACTCTATAATATTAACTATAACTATAAAACTGCCTATTGTTTGCATACACATACAGTATATCTTCATACTATGGTACACAAGTACTGTACAGTACTGTACATCATAGTATAAAGTACAGAATTACCCTGAAACATGCGACTGAAATGAACAGTAATTTTAAAGTTTGCCTAAAACACCGAACATGATTATTGGCTTTATAAAAATACTATCTACTATTTAAATTTTTTTAATCAAACCCTCTATAGAAATGTTATAAATTATTAATTATCATTATCATCTGATATATTGCTGTGATGATGCTGAAAATCCTTATCCATAGTAATCATAGGAGGAGATTTTAACTTGCTAATACCAAAATGGAGCAAGTCACTCACTCACACTCTGGACAAAGTTTGTATAATACTGTAACTTTTTGGCAAATCCACATTTTTAAACAGTTGCTAAGCCTACTTAGGAAGCTTTGAATTTTGTTACAAATGACAAGTTAGTACATAATGTATTGTAGGGTGAAAAGTTCACATTAAATTTTGTACAAGGCAATACTGAAACCCGATAGTAAAAAAAAAAAAAAAACTTTTGCCAAATTGTTTAAAGAGGTCTCATAGCCAAATTGGAATGATGTTACTCAAAACGCAACATGAAGTTTAGGAATGTATACGGTAGTTCATTTGTATGAGGGTTACATTTCTGAAAAAAAAAAAAAAAACTTCGTTGAATGTAATGAAATGTCTTTTTTTGGGCGAGCCCCGAAGGCTCCCTGGAGCTATCGGACTGATATATGATGATGCCCCAGACTAACATGCTATATTAGTCTGGGGCATCAGTCAATTGTTGTTCTGTCTACCGGGGACCACAAGCCAGAATCTGGCCCCCTCGGAGAGGAACAGGGAGCAATGACCTATGAGCATTCCGTGTCTGCTATCGACCGGGGTTATGCACCCAGAAAGGTAACCATAACAAAACATACCCCACCTGGTAAGAAATTCCAACCAAAGACCGAACAGAGACAGAACTTTTCCCCCTCCCCCTCAAAAAAAAAAAAAATTAAGGAATTAAGGAATTAAGGAAACGAGCAATCGTCATTCACTGCCACTGTGCTGCTTGTCTGTGCAGCCCTCCCCTCCCCGGGAGGGGGAAGGGGAGCCCTGGACCCCCCGCACCGACTACTCGCACCTTTAGTTCATAGTTTGATGCTCTGGGGGTGAGGGGGTCCAGGTTATACTGCACTCTATAGGCTATGGCTCCCTTTGCCTCTCTGAGGGGGGGCGAGGTTCTGGCTCGTGGTCCCCGGTAGGCAGAACTCCAATTGACTGATGCCCCAGACTAATACAGCATATATCAGTCCATTAGCTCCAGGAAGTTGGAAGGGCTCCCCACAGAAATATAGTCAAATCAAACTATGCAAGTCACTTTAATCTTGAAATCACATTTTTGGCCCTATCCCTACCAAAGGAGGTCAAAATGCAGACAAAAACATTAATTTTAAAACTAACATTTTATGACAGAGCTACTGTATTACAAAAAATACCTGCTCTTCCCAACTGAGCCATTAAAAATAAAATAATAAAAATAACTAATATTAATTATCATTGGCAAGATTTAGTTTTTATTTGAGTCATCATTTTCTTAGAGAAAATATGGTATGTAAGTAATAAATATGGTCCATCTAAAAAAAAATAAGAAAAAAAAAATGGCTCATTCCAGATACTGTATAGTATATACAGTAATGAAATTATTAAATACATTAAGAACTTTTTTTAGAAAAAATAAAATATACATCATATAAATATTATTTAAAATACTCATTATATAATATAATGGTAAGCATTTAATGTAATTAAACACACTTTTCCGTTTTGTCATTCAGTAGTTCCCTCTAGATATAGCATCGAGATGTCGGGCCTTGGGGAAATGCACCAGGACCACTTCATTCACAAGCTGCCTGAACAGAAACCCTCCTAATACTAATGGGGAAGAAGGATACAGGGTAGGGACAGGAAGCTACTGAATGGCATACCAGAAAAATTCATATCATTGCACTAAACACTTAACTTCTGGGAGGGACCCCCCCTCCCCCTCATATTAGCTCCTTAAAGCTATAATTCACAATGCCACCTCAACAGCCAAGGATGCTTTATCTGAAAGGAAAACAAGATTAATAAATAAGAAAGACAGAATGGCCTGATCTATGGGAGATGGCAGGAAAACAAGAGGGCCTGTGACAGACAGACCAACGTTAATGATCAATGGGCTCTCCAAAATGCAAACATATCATTCTTAGCCAAAAATGAAGAAGGCTGAAATTGAGAAAAAATTTAGACCAGGACTGAAGCATGTCAAAGTGCTCAGACATTCCCCCATTATGATTTCTTTGGTGTATAAAACAAAGGAGCTAGGAACCTTGTTGACTTCATGAACTGGGTGGGTGCTAAGAATGGTCCCCACAGGGCAAACAATTGAACTCGTATGGATTTGGGCAACCATTGCTCCAGAATCTTTACTTCGTCCAGTTGTCCAGGAAAAGCAGGCAATGGACCAGCTTGAAGCTGAAACCAGAGCCAGTGACTGCAGCCAAAACTTATGACACTGCTGCTGAAAAGACATGCCTGCTGCCTCCAATACCCAGGAAGCCTTCCCCTCTTAAAAGAGGAGAGTAGAGAATGGGAGTAACGAACAGAAAAAAGCAAATTAAATGGACTTTTGGAGCAAACTCAAAATGTAAAACCAGCAGGTAGGATGAGCCACAATATCTGCAATCCCATGTGAGAGAAAGGAACAATCTGGGAATGGCATCTGCAGCCTTAGCAGTAGACAAGGCAGGGAAAGAAGGGAGCTCAGAAAGGGAATCAAGACTTGTCTGGAACTACCATAAAAAATATCTTGCCCCCACAAGAATGAAGAATTTCAGTCAAACAGGTGCAACCCCTCAAGCCCAGTTATGCAGTAAAGGCACTGGAGAAAGACCTGAAAATCAGTGGCCGCTCTATCCAGTCAAGTGCTTGCAGCACTGCTACCACTTGCTCAAAGAAAACAAAGTTTGTCTGCTTGCCAGGATGAAGATGGAACCTCAAACCACAGCAACATAATGGAAACCTGCATAGGGAGGCCCCTTGAACATAGATACTCATATTGTGATGCTGAAAAGTAGAATAAGAAAGCATGTCTGTATGGCATGACAAACCCTCAGAACCAAAAACCAAGCACTAAAGACAGTTCAGGGGCAACCCCTCAAATTTTATAAAGCCTAACCCTGCAAGGTGGCTTCATCAATATCAAAATTCAGCACCAATAAACGGCAAATATCCACACTTCAAAAGGACCCATAAACACAGAACACTGCATGAAAGAGGCAAAAGGATAGACCACCTCAGTCAAAAAATGCAAACACATCTAGAGAAATTGCAAGCCCTGTATCAGAGTCTGTATCAGAATCAGATGGGAAACCCATAACAACCTGGCCAAAACCAAGCAAGACAAACTCCATAGAGACGAGGGCCACTGGCCACTGGGACAGCTATATAGACAGACATGATAAACAGGTGATGAACAAGCCCTGTACACAGTCCAAAGACATACTCCCATCAACAGACCATGCATAGGATTCTCGCATGCATTGCTCAAATAATGAGGAAACTTGTGGGAGGACCAAAGCAACTCTCAAAGCAGGTTTGATAATGGGAATGCAAGCCAACATCATGGAAGATAACCCTGGCCATGGCCGGAGTAAAATGGAAGGCGAAATACAATCGTGAAATGGTAAAAGGAAAATAAAGCAATAGCCTCCAACAGAGCTAATGTTCCAGGGAAATGCTAACATCACTTAGCTGAAAGTAGCAGATTATGAGCCCAGCAGATATTATAGATACTGAGCTGGTGTTACCAAGTAGGAAAGCAAGGTGGTGGGCTGGCTGGCTCTCAAATAACTGATTGCCATCTGGTGGCAGTTGAGCGCATCAGGATAGTACTAGGGTAGTACTCTGCAGCAATGACCATTTGCTTTCAGTTTATTGTGGGTTTAATTTTTTCCAGCACTGCTCAATTGTCATGTATATGCTTTCAGGTGGGCTTACTCAAGTTTTTGTGGTTGATCCTCTGCTCCCCTTGCCTCAGAGTGAGCCAGATTTTGGTCCTGGCTCCTGGTATGCAATGGTTGGGTTTGAGGCATGGTGTATTGGGCTAAAGCTTGGTGCAACCAGAGTTGAGCTCGGGGAGCTACTGAGGGATCCCTCCCCAAAAATATCCTAATTCTAATAAATGTTTACCTACTTTTGGTGATAAAACATATAAAAACCAATTTTTCAAAAACCATATGATAAACAGCATTCTGAAAAATTACCTTAAAAAACCAAACCAAAAGAGGAACTGAAGTTGTGAATTACATTTAACAACTGATGACACACATTGTCCACGAGTGTGCATTTTTGGCTTTAAGGTGGTTCTATAAACC